ACATGGTATGTATGGAAAAGGATATTAACTACCCAAACAGGTATGCATGATACTGATCGTGATCATTCATGGCAAACAGTTTTATCAATTATGCAAAAGCTCTTATAATTCTTAATTTATGCAATTACGCAAAGATACAAAGCAATAAGACCAAGGCACTTTTTCAGACAAATCTCATAAGCCAAAACTCAAATCTCATTGGTGGATAATTTAATTAATTTAATTTTTCCCCCATTAAAACTTTATGAAAGCACGTGAAGATGATAGTTGTTAAAACCTGTTTGGTTCTTTGCCTTTGTGATGAATTTGATTATACTCTCCAAAGAGACTCCATGAATAATGGGAGCACCTTTAGTTTAACTTTATTATTATTATTATTATTATTATTATTATTATTTATAAGTTTTGAATACCCTCAAAACAATATCTTAGATGAATATATAAAGGATTCAAACAGTATAAGCAAAATAAAAAATAAATAAAAAAACACTAAAGAGTATTAGAAAGGGCTAAAACGAGTTGCACACGATGAAATTGGAGCTCATAAACACTTCATACGGTACTAAATAGTCTTAAACCCTTCGCCCATGTTTGCTTTGTTGGATTAGGTAGGAGTCCTACGTTTGTTTCGGTGGACTGAGGCCCGCGGGATTGGGTCGACTCAGGATAAAAATAGCATTTATCCTCTATTTATGGGATAGATGAATTCCAAGTAAAGAGTGTGATTATTCTAATCCTACCTTATTGAATTATTTTTTTTTTTTTTTCAAACAGTACAATCATTCACATTTGCATTATTTTAGTCCAATCTCATCCTAGAAAGCAAACATGGCTTCGTCTACATAGCCCAATAGTCATGTCTCACAATATTGAGCTTATTCCATATATCCATATGATTATCATCTCAGTCATATGTGTTCATGCTTTAAGCCTTTACCAACCACAACCATTTTTTATGAATATACATTTGTCTAATATTCAACTAACAAAAAGAAACAAGTCAATTTTATGAATAATGTTTACAAAACTCTAAGAGATATACATTAAATTCATAAAAAAAAAAAAGGTTATTAACCAAACAACCATATCAAAATCAAATTAAAGCACTTATTAAGGAACAAAAAAAGTTGTAGCCAGACATAATTATTTGAGGCTCCATTTCCCCCATCCGGATTAGTTTAATTAGCACTAAATAATAATAGACATTAAAAAAATGCTCTCGTTAATCAATGTCTCGCCAGCCAATAAGCTTGGCTCTTTCCCAGTTCCCACAACAAGAATCAAACATGCTAGAAAACTAGACTAACCAAAACATTTTCAAAATATTTTTACATCATTATTAAGCCGTGTCATTATATATATTATTTGAATCAGGTTACTAAATATATCTAACAGTTACGCAATTATAATTTTTTAATAAATATACATACTTTCATGCACAAGTGACATACTTTAAAAAAAAAAAAAACATAAATAAAAATATGACTTTTTTTCAAAAATTATAAATGTTTTTTTACATCATTATTAACCCATGTCATTATATATATTATTTGAGGGAAATGATACAATCCCGTTACGAAATCATTTCGTCGGAATTTGTAACCGTTATTAGATCATTATGTAATCCTCGTGGATAGTTGATCTAATGGTTACCAATCCCGACAGAATGGTTCCGCAACGAGATTGTAAAATCTCCCATTATTTGAATTAGGTTATAACTAAATACATCTAACAGTTATGCAATTATAATTTTTTAATAAAAATATACATACTTTCATGCACAAGTGACATACTTTAAAAAAAAAAAACATTAATAAAAAACATTTCACAATTAAATATGCATTTTTATCTAAAAAATTATAACGAGTCGACTCGCCTAACCGCTATATTACTTCACATTGTATTTCGATAGTTCTTTTATCATCAGGTCGAAGTACTCTTTTATAAAAACATATACATCTTCATTAAGAAATATTATAATTTAATAAACAATATAAACAAAAATAACACATCATTTGAAGTACAAATACGTATATTTTTATTTATGAAATATGGACTCATCTAAAAGTTAGACAACATCATTTTATTCATTTCAAGAATTTGTGATATTAAAATACCATTTTGAAAATAATATCAAAACACTTTGGAATAAAGAATTAGGGAACAGAATCTTGATCCAAGCACTATATTAACACCAAGCCTTGTGACTTAAGTGCAAACCAACTCATTTCACTTCCCTCAAACTCCCTTCAAGAGCCTCTCTATATGCTAATGCTTATACTTCTCACTCACTCATCAAAAACTAAAACAAAAAATAAACACAAAAATAAAACACACCCACACAACCATCCTCCTCACCCAAACCATGTCATCAATCCAAGAATATAATTTCCAATCATGGCTTCCAAACACCCCTTCCACCTCCTCCGAGTCCCCATCCCTGTCCTCATCCAGCCACGAACTCGACACGCTCTCCGGCGACCCGGGCTTCGACAACATTAAATTCCACTCCACCATCTCCTCCTCCTCCCTAAAACCGCCACCTTTCACCGTCAACTCCGTCAAAACCGACACCCCACAAATAAGCTTCCTTGCCGCCCGCGGCCCAATCCTCTACGCGGCCACCGCCCGTGAAGTCTCCCTCTACGACCTCCAAACCCTAACCCTCATCGGGTCCCTCGGCCCTTCCTCGGCTCTCGCCAAGTCCATCGCCTTCGGCCGCCGCCGCCGCATCTTCACCGCCCACCTCGACTGCAAAATCCGCATCTGGCGGCGGACCTCCGACGACCACCACCGTCACCACCTCGTCTCCACCCTCCCGACTCTCCAGGACCGCATTTTCTGGTGCCTTATTCCGGGGAGCTACGTTCGGGTCCGACGGCACGAGCGGCGGCTATGGGTCGAGCACGCGGATGCCGTCTCGTCCCTAGCCGTCGACGACTCGTCCGGGCTCGTCTACTCCGCCTCGTGGGACCGGAGCTTCAAGACTTGGGACGGGTCGCGGTGTGTGGGGTCCGTGCGGGCCCATGCGGACGCGGTCAATGCGGTCCTCGTGGGCCCGGCGGGCCGGACGGTTTACACGGGCTCGGCGGACGGGCAGATACGGGTCTGGTCGGCGGCGGCGGGCCGGCGGCACCACCACCGGCTGGTGGCGACTCTTGAAAAGCACGAGTCAAGTGTGAACGCGTTGGCTCTAACGGGGGACGGGTCGGGTTTTTGCTCGGGCGGAGGGGACGGGTCGATTCTCGTTTGGGAGAGGGAAAACGAAGACGACGAGGAGGACACGTGTGATTTTTTCGTAGCGTGTTGGTTGAAAGGTCATAAAGGGGCGGTGTTGTGTTTGGCGCAGGCGAACGGGGTGTTGATAAGCGGGTCGTCGGATCGGACGGTGCGAGTTTGGGGGATCCGGGCGGGAGGGTACAAGGGGTGTTTGGTAATATTGGAAGGGCACGTGAAGCCCGTGAAGTCGTTGGTTGCGGTTCCAGATGATGACGAGGACAGTTTGGATGAGGGTTTATCGGTGTCGGTATTCAGTGGGAGTTTGGATGGGGAAATCAGGGCGTGGAAAATTAGTATTAGATCACTGATTGGCTGTGATTGATTGAGGAGGAATCTTTGTTCGTATTATTATAGGGTTANAAAAAAGGAAAAAAAAAAGACAAAATTGGTGTGTAGTAATATTGTTACGAGTTGTTTGTCGTTGTCATGTGCGAGGTTGTCTTGAATCTGAAGTTTGTGATATTCGTCATATATATAGTGGTCATTAATTAATTGTTGTGCGTTTCAGAATGTACTTATGTTTTATGCTAATATAAGTAACATACAACTTTGTGATCATTTGTGGTTGTCGAATTGCATTCCTTGATTCGAGCATTGTGTTGGGGGCAATTGAGATTCTCTATTAGCATTGCATTTTAACGTGAAAATAACATAAAAAAACGCAAAATGAGTATGTCATGTCAGCGTTTATAGCATAAATTTTTCAGGAAAATTGCTAAATTTCAAAAGTTAGGTTGCGAAATCGAGCCAATTTGCGGTGTGATACAAAATAAATTATAAAAGAAGGTATGAAATAATTTTTATTCTGTTATACATTAAATATAAAGTATGAAATTATATATATTTATTAGTAAAATATAAAGTTATGCCTGCACGCCTAATATTTGTATATGTAACATTTTTTTCTCATACATTTTCCAACTTATGTATATCGGGGATCATATATAGCATGTGTTAGGTTAATACCTAAATTTTACTTTACCATGCAATAAGTTTTTCACAAATCACTAGTAATTATCACGTGTTTGGTGATGCAGATAATATATACTCAAAGTTGTTAATGTAGTGACATTGCCACTCACAATTTGGGCCGCCGTCCAATCGGGCTTTCGAAGAATTAAGCTAAGAGACGACTAACTAATCTTGAAATTTGCATAAAAATAATTACTTCCGAGAATATGATTAATATGATTCATTGTTAATTATTTAGTCTATCATAGAATAATAAATGTTTCTAGAGATAATTATGACTTAATTTTTCCCCCTATTTTAGATATTTTAGTGGTACTTGCAAGAATTTTGTATAACTAATTTGTGACATTCTTACTTTAATGTTTATTTAAATTAAAAGTTCGCTTTGATCAACACATTATAATGCATGTATAATATGTATGTATGCATACATACATGTGAAATCTGATCTAATAGTGAAAATCCCGGTCTCCTTGATTTTTTTAATGAAACTAGTGCGTGGCCCGTGCGATGCACGGGAAAACAATATTTTGATTGTATTATAAATTAAATAAATAAATAACATTAATCATAATTTATCCATTATTTTAAAATTAAACCGAGTTTGACACAGTCCGACCAGATGGACCGAGAACCGGTTTATAACCAGTATATTGCGCTTGAATAAAATATATGCTATCGAATCCGTCAACATCAGTATGTTGGACTGGTAGGATCGATACGATTTTCTAAACAAATTTTGTTACATTAAAAATTATTTTAAATAAAATTACATATTTAAATAAAATAGAGATTTATAAATTGTTTATCAATTAGTTTAAACATTTGAATTTATAAATTGTTTAGATATTTAAGTAATACTTTTTATTTAAATTTATTACAAAAGGTACTATATATATATATATATTAAAGTATTATGTATTAAAATCTGAACAACCACAAATGATTTAATAAAATAACTTGATCGTTTCAATGACGTCCCGGTTCTGAAAATTTTATATTTACCGTACATTAATAAAAATGATAATAAAATAATTATTTTGTTCACATAAATAATAATCAAATGATATATAAATATTCATAAATTATTAATCATGTTGTCGTAAAAGTATTGTTAATATGATTATTTGAAGTTTGGACTACATAATAAAGTATTTTCAATATTAAAATTTATATTTAAGTTCAATAATCGATTTGGTCTGGTCAAACTGATACATAACTTAGTTACCTAGGACCAACCAAGTTATGTCAAGTTTTTTGACTATTTTAAATATCACCTAAAAATAATTCAATCAACGTGTGCAATACCCTAATTCAATCACCCGATTGATCCAAAAGTAATTTCATTATTTTCTTTAAATATAATATTTAATTTTATAAACTAAAAAAAATTTATGATTCATATGTCTACACCAAATGATAGTATATTAAGATTATAAATTATATATCTAAAGATGAATTATTTATTTTTATTTTATGCATTTTAATAAAAAATAAACATAGTAATTTAAAAAAAATCAAGATTAATTGATTGGGTATATATATATAACATGATTGAATTTTTGGATTAGAAGATATATATTTAAAATGATTTTATTATTAAAAGTCAAAAAGAAAAGATGTCATAAAGATTACAACTTTGAAAAGTTTGTAACCATTAATTTAGGAACCATCCGATTTTAAATGATTTATAATTTTTGAAACAGGATACGTCATCTAAGACCCATTAATTTAGGAATCATGCAATTTTTTGATAATGAATTAAAATTAAAATGTAAAATAAAAAAAATTGCTAAAAATAGTATGTAATAAATGTAGGTTGACTTTTCCTTATTACTATTTATGGTAAATGTTAATTCTTATTATATATATATATAGATGTGAAAGTATTAAAATATTTTATATTATTATTGAAAAATGTGAAATTACCTCAATTTTGTCTAAACTATTTTATAAGAAAAATATGTATACTTAAAGTTAGCACACACATATATATATATATCCTTAAAATTTTCCCAACTAACATGTTTAAAAGTATATAAAATTTTATATATAAAATACGTTTAAAGTTTACATATTTTACAAAAATTAGACTGCTCTCAGTTTATATAAACTTTGTTGCTCTCATATTCGGATAATGTATTATGCATTTAATGAAAGCACCTACGATACAAATTTATAAATATTAATTAAAATAATTTTTTAAATTATATAAAATTGAAATAACAAAGGTAAATATTACCTGTTCATCGTGAAAATGCGTTACAGCTCTCCCGTTCGTGATGGTTCAATAATGCGGACTGCTCTCAGACACAAAAAAAGGTTTGTTATAATATTAATTAAAATAATTTTCTAAATTATATAAAATTGAAATAACAAAGGTAAATATTATCTGTTCATCATGAAAATGTGTTACAGCTCTCCCATTCGTGATGAGTTTGAATAATGCGGACTGCTTGGTTTCAATAATGCGGACTGCTCTCAGACGCAAAAAAAGGTTTGTTATAAATATTAATTAAAATAATTTTCTAAATTATATAAAATTGAAATAACAAAGGTAAATATTACCTGTTCATCATGAAAATGCATTACAGCTCTCCCGTTCGTGATGGGTTTCAATAATGCCGACTGCTCTCCCGTTGCGGACTGCTATCAGACGCAAAAAAGGTTTGTTATAAATATTAATTAAAATAATTTTCTAAATTATATAAAATTGAAATAACAAATGTAAATATTACCTGTTCAAAAGGTTTGTTATAAATATTAATTAAAATAATTTTCTAAATTATATAAAATTGAAATAACAAAGGTAAATATTACCTGTTCATCATGAAAATGCGTTATAGCTCTCCCGTGGGTTTCAATAATGTGGACTGCTCTCAGACGAAAAAAAGTTTTGTTTCTTTTGTTAACGTACCTCAGTCTGGAAGCATTATATATCAAGTGTACCCCAGCCTGCTCGTGATGAGTTTCAATAATGGGGACTGCTCTAAGACGCAAAAAAGGTTTGTTATAAATATTAATTAAAATAATTTTCTAAATTATATAAAATTGAAATAACAAAGGTAAATATTACCTGTTCATCATGAAAATGCGTTACAACTCTCCTGTTCGTGATGGTTTCAATAATGCTTTGTTATAAATATTAATTAAAATAATTTTCTAAATTATATAAAATTGAAATAACAAAAGTAAATATTACCTGTTCATCATGAAAATGCGTTAGTGATGGTTTCAATAATGCGGACTGCTCTCAGACGCAAAAAAAGGTTTGTTATAAATATTAATTAAAATAATTTTCTAAATTATATAAAATTGAAATAAAAAGGTAAATATTACCTGTTCATCATGAAAATGCGTTATAGCTCTCCCGTTCGTGATGGGTTTCAATAATGCGGACTGCTCTCAGACGAAAAAAAGGTTTGTTTCTTTTGTTAACGTACCCAGTCTGGAAGCATTATATATCAAGTTTACCCCAGCCTGGAAGCATTATATTGTAATAATGCGGACTGCTCTCAGACGCAAAAAAAGGTTTGTTTCTTTTGTTAACGTACCCAGTCTGGAAGCATTATATATCAAGTTTACCCCAGCCTGGAAGCATTATATTGTATATGCGATGAAAAATTATTCTCTGTATTTTTTTTTTCTCTGAACTCGTGAATGATGAGTTGTAATGGTGGTAGTGAATATCCTTTTATACAATTTTTTATTAACAAAAGTGATAAGATAATTATGGATTGTATTTGGATAGATTTTAAATACCATGATTTTTGGGATGCAACAACAAAATATGCAATCACATGTATATATCTTATCACGTTAAAGGTATATCCATCCCTAAAAAACAGGAAAAAAAAACCATATATTTTGAAAGGATTTTTAAATTAGTTTCTACAAATGGAAAGTCAATGGGGTTGTTGACCAATTTTTTAAAAGTTTCCACAAATGATTTATTGACCTCTCTTTTTCAATATATATAGATATATATTCTTAAAATCATAGTTTGAAATTAATTATTTGAAAAGTTCATTTGGCTAAAAATAAAAGAAAAAGGCGCGCACCAACAACGAAAGGAAACATCCTACTTCCTAGCTAGCTAGTATGATCCTAACTACTAATTAGTGGAATTATGTAAGTAATTTCTAAAACAAATCATAGGCTACAAAGTGATCAAGAAACTAATGTGAGGTTTGACACATGTAATCATGCACTCATGTGGCAAAGCCCTCGTTTGCGCAGAAAGTGCAAAAATAAGGGAAGTCTGTTATAAGTTATAGTAATATACTAGTATTCGACTCTGTGCATTTACACAGATGTAAATAAAATTAAATATTATAAGTTATATTTATGTATATAATATAAAAATTATAAGTTATATAATTGTATTATATTTCAAACATATAGTATTATAAGTTATATTTATGTATATAATATTAAAATTATAAATTATATAATAATATTATATTTTAAAATTTGATCATTGGTTAAAATAAATAGTACACACGATTTGATTGTATACGAATCACTATATTGATTGCATAAAATGTAATAAATATATACTTTTTATAATTTTGAGTGATCATGACCAATTAATTAGCTGAAAAATATTACATTTATTATAACAATTGCTTATGTGATTTTAAGAAATTTACTATGACATAAAAAAAATTAATTTATTAATAAACAACATCTTCATCATATAAAAAAATATTGATTTTAGTGTAAAATATAATTTTATGTAACTTTCATATATTATTTAGTATAAAATATAATTACTAATTTTAATATTAACTATTATATTATTCAATAAAAAATATAATTATTAATCAATTAACATAAAATATAATGATTTTTGTCTTAATTAACCCAAAAAAATGTAATATTAATGCCACATAAATAAAATTTATTAGGTTCTATTTATTAGGTTTTATTAATGATTTGCCACATAGGTAAAATTTATTAGGTAAAATTTATTGCTTAGCTAGCAATTATATATATATAGATAATGTGTTGCATCCTTTAACAATATCAGGCTATAATAAATGCCCATCAAAACCTCTTGAATATATGAAAAACATTTTTTGCCAATGGAGCTTCTAAGAAAGACCCTCGCTTGATATGCAATTGGAAAAGAAAAAGTAAGAAGACACCAAAGTATATATTAAAATCATCAATTAATAATATTTGTTAATTTTTTGAATTAGGTGTGCAAAGTTTTTTAATTGTGTAAATTGACAAGCATGCCAAATATTCAACCATATGCCGGAATAAAGTCTTTGGTTTAGGTACTCTAATGCAGTCATATATATTTTAGATGTGATTTTGTTTCTTTTCAGCAATTAGTAATGGACTAGCTACATTAAGGTTCAAATTCCAATAGATATATATTGAATCTCGGTCCACAATATGTATNTTTTGTTAAGGTTTCGTAATCTCCCATACATTATCGTTTTGGGGCTATGAACAGAGTTGTAAACGAGCAGGCTTAACTCAAGACTTAAGGAATAAAGTACACGTGTCGTTCAACCAATAAAATAAAATATGATCATGTACACGTGTAAACAAGTAGATATTAGCTATTATTACAATTATTGCATGTTTATCAGTTGTTAAACGTCCATCAATTTTGTTTCCCCTGTTTCACAATTGGTTAGGAGAGTATAAATTCAGTTTTCCAGTAATCCCTAAATAGTTGTTAATTTACTACCACCCTTAGTCTATTCATCTTTTAGTTAGTCATCAATTCGTATGAATATGTGACCTTGGCCATGTGGTTTTGTAGAATTCAGAAAAATATAATGCTATGCAGAAAAGTCGATGCAATTTAATCAGAACTCATCAGATGAATGGATTTATAGGAGAACTGACATAATTTTATTTATTTATTTATTTTTTTCTGAACAACATATATTAATATAATCACCCTTATTTGCTCATGTAATTTTGGTCAGAATTGAACAACTTCATTGTGTTATGTGTATTGATGATAACCTCAAAGTTAGCCAGCATAGAAGAATTAACCAACAGAAATAAGGATCACACATAACATCCAAACTACTTAGAAAAATCCATCTGCATTAAATTCGTTTATCATGGGATAACTTGCACGCATGGCGATGCCACATTGGCCACGCTCGTCCGTGACATCCCTTGCCAGCCTGATGTACCCGTTGTCTCCCCACCAGCTGCCCCAAGAATTCTTAACAATCCAAAACTTTGTGCCTTGCTCGGTTGCCCCATACCCGACCACTGTCACTATGTGTGTTAGATTCACGTCGCACCACCCGGTGAAAACTCCCTGCACAAACACTTACTGCTGTCTGCTGATGAGATTCATTAGTCAAGAAGTGGTAAAAAAAAAGGCTTTCGATTTGGGGTGGTTTACCTTCTTGTAACTCTTAAATTCACCGTCGATTGAAACAAAGGCGGAGACTGGTTGGTGTGCCACGGCCCTCATCAAAGCCTGCTCGTCGTTCGGAGGAACTCGTCAATTTTCACCACCAGCAGCTTCACTTTAGTGGCATTGCAGGCTGGGGTTTGAATACTTCAGCGGATGATCTGGCATACTCGTACAGGTTACCGAGGTCTTCCAGTTCATCCGCCGAGTATCCAAACCCCAGCCCGTTCAACAAAAGTGTACATAAGAATAAGAGTAGTACATTGAATGATATCTTCATATTACTCTATTTTTTTTTTCTTTTTTTCCTTTAAACTCAGTCTGACGTGAAAGTGATGAGAGGGTATAGATATTATTTTGGTTTTCAAGCTCTTATTAATACATTTCAAGCAAAGCCTTTCTTATCACTAACTCAGCCTCTGCAAGTTAAGAATAACATCACATTAAAACCAGATTTTTGCTTCTTTCGGGAAAATTAGTTTGAGATATTATTCCTCTGCATGCGTATTGAATTAATTCCGCTCTGTTTCTGGGCAGAGACTGAGAAGATGAGAAGAGCAAAGCATCATCAAGATTTTTGCTTCTTGCGGGAAAAATTAGTTGAGATTTTTATTCTCCCTACGTGCATGCCGATTAATTCAATTTAGTTTTGTAATTTTTTGTTCGACTCTGTTTTTTGCACCGAGACGATGAGAAATGAAGAACCTTCCTTTTCTTCCGTTTGAACGGGCCCGAGTAATTGTAATTGGACCATTAGTGCATATCCAATGGAACTGCCCATAAGTACAGGCCTAACCCAAGTATTTCCTCCCTTGTTTTTGAAACTTGAACGGGACCCAGATATTGCAATTGGACCACACCATCGCCCAGTTTTTCAGAAAGCAAGCCCATGCTTGAGGGTGTCCGTTGGATAATTTCAGTTCTCAAAAACATCCCATATTTTGCAGTTTACACACATAATTACTGTAATTAATTAGATAACATCACAATTGAAAATAATTATTTTTTTTTAAAAAATAAAATTATGTTATTATTTTCTGATGCAATATAGTCTTTTGAAGATTGAATACAAGAGTCTGCATACATACATACATCCATTTCCATTCATGCGGGATTGTTAAAAACTCATTTATTTAAAATGGGTTTGACCCGATTTTGACTGATTTTTTTATGGCTAAATATTTAATTCGGCTTGTATAAACTTTTGTCAAAAAATTCTACTCTCTGAGTAAATACTCGTAACGTATTTATTTTCTCAAAACATTATTTTCGATGAGTGAGAAATAAATTAACAACTCAAGTTAGCCATTAATTGTCACGTAAAACATTGGTTGTGAAATTCGAATGGTCAAAAGACCTATCCCACATTGGGGAGGTCACAAGAAAATATATAGTTATACACCAAGTAGTGCGTGCTCTGCCAGTGGGCAATGGCACGGGCCTGGCCTTGAGATCTTGTATCTTTGTCTTTGCCATATTGAACTGTGGGTTGGACTTGAGCAACCTTACAATTTGAGAGAGTGAGAACTAATCTTCACCCCAATCACCTCACGGTGATCGGGGCCGCAACCCTCTCCTCAAGAAGTGTCGAACTCAGTTAAGAATAACAGTTAATGTCAGATTGATTTGATACGTACGCAGTTAATTAAGTTTTCTAGTTTTTAAAATTGGTTAGATAACCATACAATTAATTTTTAAATAATCTACAAGTAGTTGTTACTCTAATTTCTGGATATTATAAATGGAGGGTCACCATATATAAAAATTGTAAGAAGCAACAAAAACATGGGAAATATATCCCACATGGTTAATGTTTGCATAATAACTTTCTTTGTTTTCACATCTTTGTTTTCGGTTGAAGGGGGCCAACGCTGGTTGGGTGCTTATGGTGAGATCAAAGACTTGAATCACCAAGAAGTAATGAGGTGTGCAAAATTTGCGGTAGTCGAGCATAATAAGAAGGCTCAAACAAACTTGATTTTTGTGAAGGTGATTATAGGATTTTATGCGGTAGGTTGGGGTGGGGATTATAAGTTATTAATTTCTACAAAAAATGGTACTCATGCTAATGCCAACATTGAATATTATCTTATTGTTGCTCATGAACTCCCGCCGAAAAAGGGTCCGCCTATAAAGCCCTTTAAACTAAAACTAATGTCTTTTAAAAAGATATGATATTATTTTATGACTATATCGGATAATAATGATTGAAGTTGGTTGTTGTATTTATAATGGTCTTACGATTTAAGTTGAACATAGAGGTGCGGGCCGAGCGAATTTGAGCTCCTGATTCTTGGGCTCGGGCTCAATTTGAACGTTTATTGGGTTGAACTCTAGAAAAATGATACATAATCAACCTAGTGTACAACTACGTTGACAAAACAAATGAAAACCTCCACTTGTGTATTTTTTTTTATTTTTGTAGATGTTTTTTTACTTGTATTGTCAACTTAATTGTACACTAGATTGACAATTAGTATTTCTCTGAGCTCTACTAGTTGTTCAAACGAATCAATAAAAGTATGTAAAAATATGTAGAAAACAAACACTTCAATACCTTCTCGATAAAATATTGAATTAAAGAACAATAATCAATGCAATTTGTGCACTAATAATTTAATGATTAAACTCTATAAAGTACATTAATATGGTGTAAAATTACATATGCACTGTGCACAAGTTTTAATGAGCGAACCTCAAGAATACTCGTTTTGTTTAACAGAATTTATCTGATTTATAAAAAATAAATAAATTTAATTTTTTATTTAAAAAACTTAACTTCTACATCATTTCATTACCATGGTCATGTGACGTATGGACATAAATTTGTATATGAATTGGAAAGAATGAATGTGGGAAAGCTATAATGAATTACACAATCCTCATCTGAAACCACACACCAAAAGTTTAATCACATTAATTATGTGTGTATAAATGTAGCGCAATTTGGAAAATGCATGTGACAAACTTAGGCTCATGGTCCATTTTCTTTATGAAAGATGGGTCGATAGGCCCATGGTCCATTTTCTTCTCTTTTTCAGACTAGGGCATTTTCATTCATTTCAGGTGCAAACATGAGGATGTAATTTGGTGTGGAGTACAAAAATAACAGATAGAGAAGGATCAACTTATCCCAATCCATTAGACAATCACAAACATAAGGATGAAATTAAAGTGTGAGCACTGAGCAGAACACGTAACATCCAAATTATTTAAAAATCCGCGTGATATTGAGATATTGGAGAAGGCTTGTTTGCCACCGGATAACTGGCTTCGATAGCAATGCCACACATTCCCGACTTGTATTTAACATCCCGTGCCATCCGGATGTAACCATTTTCACCCCACGAGCCTCCCCAAGAATTTTTAACGGTCCAAAATTTTATTCCCTGTTTGGTCATCCCGTACCCAACCACCGTTACAGCATGATTCAGATCCTTGCTGCTGCTGGCAGTGCTGCAATTCCCGTTATAAATTCCCTGCACGTGGTAACACGAAACTTGTATAATTTGAAAGCACGTTGAATTGCGACAGCGAGTCTAGTTAAAGTGGTAAAGTTGTAGCTGGGTGTTTTACCGTCTTGTAGTACACGAAATCATTGTCGGCTGCAATCGCAGCCGAAACAGGCTGCTGTGCCACGGCTTGCATCAGTGCTTTTTCATTGTTTGGAGGGATTCTCTTATATCCGGCGATTTTCACCACGGGGGACTTGACCTGCACACACAGTGTTAAATACTAAAATCAGGCACGAATTTATAATCATAATTGAAGAAGAGACATGAATGCATTTGAAAAGCTAATTACTGTCGATGATTAATGAAAATTAATGTGTGTATATATTATATACTTACTTTAGTGGAATCACAGATTCTCTGTTTACCCACGTAGGGATATACCCGCTCGGATGTGATGCCTCTGTCCCTGATGAAGTCAAATGCCCGGACTACATTTCCTTTACGGCACCCATTGTTACGTTTGTCACAATCCACGAGCTCTTGGGCCGACAACGAAACCAGCCTTCCCGTCCGGACGAAATTTATCCCCTCCACAGCTCCCACTGCCGAAAATGCCCAGCAAGATTCTGATTTTTGTTTAACAAGAAGAAGTTTTGCAGTCATTGGATGATCAACTTTTGGGAGATGGGGGATTTGGGAAAAAAATATATATATAATAATAACAATAGTTATAATTTAGGAAAACTTAATAAATTTTGTCCTTACTGCAATTTAACTGATTCTTGACGTATGTGACGGCCCCTTTAGCTCTCCAGTCGACCGAGGTTGGAACGTCTGAAGTATGGTACTCCAGCTGGCTGAATTCCTCCTCGAGGAGGTCGAGCGGCTGGTGGGGTCCCGGCTGGCATCCGTGCCGTGCAGCAAATTCATGAGCCGTCAAGTCCGAAAACTGGTTGAGCCCGAGCTTGTACTGCTCGTCCAGTTGGTTGAAATGGTGAATTCGCAGTACATTCTCTCTGAAAGCCGGGAACCGATCATTCGTCGGCTCGTCCAACTTATTGTAGTATGCTCTCCACCGCTCGTATAGGCTACCCATGTCCTCCAATTCATCCGCTGAGTATTCAAACCCCAGCCCGCTCAACAAAAGTGTACATAATAGTAAGAGTAGCACAATGAATGATATCTTCATATTACTCTTTTTTTTCCCCTTTAAACTCAGTCTGAATTGTAATTTGTAAGTAAGGTTTTGATGAGAGGCTATAGTTATTATTTTCGTTTTGAAGCCCTTATTAACACATTTCAAGCTGACATGCAAAGCCTTTCTTTTTCTATAACTCGCCCTCTGCACTTTAAGAATAACATCACATTAAAAGGTGATTTTTGCTTCTTGCGGGAAAATTAGTTGCGATATTATTCTTCTCTATGCATGGGGTATCGAATTAATTCGGCACTGTTTCTGGGTAGAGATTGAGAAGATGAGAACTGCACTTTAAGGATCAAGATTTTTGCTTCTTGCGGGAAAAATTAATTGAGATTATTATTCTCCCGATGATATGTGTACATTAATGATTTTGTTCTTTGTTTTTTTTTTTTTCCCGCNTTTTCGCAGATTGAAAGATGAGAAATGAAGAAGAACCTTCCTTTTCTTCTGTTTGAACGGGCCCGAGGAATTGTAATTGGACCATTAGTGCATATCCAATGGAAATGCCCATAAGAACAGGCCCAACCCAAGTAGTCATTCCAACATTCGGTGTATTCAAAAAATGCCCAAAATAGAGGCCCTAACATTCTAAAATCCCTCCCTATATATTAATTGAGAACGTGCTGAGTCTATGTGGCAGGCTCGCATGCTTCGGGATCTTATGTGGCAAAAGTACATGCTTCGTTATTAGGCTTGGGTAGATTTAGTTTACTTCTAATCCAAATATATTTAGGTTCGGATTATCTATAATATGTTGATTATTTATGGTAAGGGTGGCGCCGGCCAGGACGATCTTGGATTTGACTTGTCCGGATACCCATCCAACTTTTATGAATTCGTCCATAAACGAGGCACCGTCGCAACTCATGTAATACATGGGTGTTGTACTAGTTTTAAAATTATTTGCTTATTGGTGAAATATGTGGATGATCAATATTTTTTAATGCCTACAAATTATATACGTAAGCATGTATCTATTGTTTGGAGCATTATTTATTTATTTATTTGACAAATGTTTGGATTATTAATAAGAATATAATTCAACTATATATATTCCTCTATGTTAATTATGCTTGCCATTGTTATTAAAAAGTTCGGAAATTATGGACTCAAATTAACCGGTGTGCAATTGTTATTGTTAATTATGCTTGCCATTGTTTCGGCTGCACTAGAAAGTTCAATTTTAATTACACAAATAATACTCGTTTAAAAATATTTAAATTATAGTCAGAGATTAAGTTTATATTTGTAGTTTTACTAGAATTCGGTTGATATCAAAAGTTGATTTAAATACTAACTAAATTAATGGTGATAATATCAATACCAAAAAGGGCTCATATGGGCTTTGGGCCTATCGCCCTCGACCATTCGACCATTCTTATAAAGCATGGCTCTGAGACTTGAGCTTATACACTGGGCTTAGGCCTATTGTCCTCGCCCATTTTTAATAAAGCATTTCCACGAGACTTTGAGCTTGTAGCATTTTCCTATAATTTGCATATATAAAACATGTCCTACATTCTACACACAATTAGTTAATTACTGGGAGCTGCGTCATTTTAATGACTTTTCGAATGTTAATAAATAATGATAACAAAAATAATTTAAAATGGTACTGAATCTTGACATGAATGACAAGAAAAATAATATAGAACGGTATTACTGATAATCTTGAAATGAATAAAAAATTAAATACATAATTAACAAACTTATCTCAAATATATTTATTCAGTATTATACATTGGATATACTCAGACTTTCATTGCAAGAGTAAATAGATACATGAGTGAATGACTAGCCATCACCAACATTGGAATCAAGGCTAAATTGATATTATATCTTTTCAAATGACATTAGTTCGAGTGGTCTGATACGATACCCTTTTCTAGGTTTATGTTTTCAATTACCATAGCAATGTAGTATTCAATATTAGCATCCGCATGATCACCATCTTTAGTTGAAACTAACAACTTATAATCACTGTTTTTTAAGGGATCCATCATTCCTAAATTAAACCAACTTTATGAGAATCAATTTGTTTCCGACATCTATACTTATATTAAAAGGTATATCATTACCAGATTTAGTATAAAGAAAAGTCAACAACATTTATTGCATTACTATTTCCGTATTATACAATCTATATCTATACTTATATAAAAGAAGATTCTATTTACTACATTTACGATCCAAAAAAATCAACTGCATTAAATGCCATTACTATTTTAGTATTATAATATTTTATTTATTTAATTGATTTAGTTATTTGTTTTATTTTAAAAAGATAAGTATAATAAAAAAATTTAATAATAAAAAAATAAAATACCAAATAAAAATGTACACTTTGACTTATTTGATTACATTTGGTATTTGATTATACCAAATATATTCCTATTTAGTATATACATTAAATACTTACTAAAATATTTATTTATTTTATCTGTCAAAGTTAAGTATAGATTTGTTTATATTATCAAATCATAAAAAAATATTAAATCCATATTGTAAAAAAAAATCATATAATTTTATAACAATTCTACTACACTATTTAACAATATTTTTTTATTATATAATAAAATAATAATTAAATATTATATGATAAACAACAATAAGTAAAACTGTTACTTTCTCTTATATCAAGGGATAAATTTATATGCTAAAATTAAATTTTTATTATTATAAATATTTTAGTGAGATAATATATTAATTATTTTACAAGCTAGCCCTAACATGCTCATATTTAATGTTTTAAAAGATGTAGAAAAAAAAACTTATAATAATTCTATTGTTTTTTAGACTTAAACGTTGATTAAAAGAGGTAAAAATTCCTAATTTTTTAGACTTAAACGTTGATTAACACCATAGATTGAGAGTTTATATTTAGTAAAATTCCTAATTGTAATAAAAAAATTAATTTTTGCTATATTTTAGAATATCTTTAAATTCATTATAAAAAAAAAAAAAAAAAAAAACTACAACGAAAAAAGTAAGTCAGCTATATATCGATTTGTTGTACTCCTCAAATCACATTCACAATTTGGCTACAAGGAAAGGAAACTCATTGATTAAAATATTATTTTTTCAGTAGTCTTAATGTACAAGAGACTTTAAGACTCCACTTGAATATTATAAAACTTTTATTGAACATTGTACAATTTTTTTGCGTATTATAAATTTTTATTGAATATTGCATCTTATAATATAATATTCTCCAAATAAATATATCTCGTGTTTCGCACGGGTCACGCACTGTATATATCCCGTACATTTTCCTTTATTCATGTATATAATTAGAAGCCTGGATAAATAGCCTTAAAATTGTGCACCCCGTGCATCGCACGGGCTCTGTACTAGTTATTGTTATGTTCAATCACCGCGATTGCGCACACCTAACAACCTCTTTACCGTTCAAAATTATGATTTCCTGTCTGGTAAAAAAAATCATCGATCCAGCTGAGCTGTTTAATTTACGAATATATTTAGTATATTTCTAGCATCCGCGTCATCTAAGAAAATTGAGTATTTTACTTGTAATGTGTATAACTTGTATATAATATGCATATACTTTTATTATCTACTGTTTATGTTTCGATAACAGTTGTGTCTCTTTTGTTTATAAATAAATAATACTATACATACAATGATTTTGATTCTTACATAATCTACTGGTATAACTAACGTATATGTGCAGATTTATTATATTTAGAAAATATTTTTATTTCGTGGCCATAAACGTTAGTTAAACAATAAACATTCAATTATATGACTCCGCCATGTTTTGGTCTCTTATAAGTAAATTTCATATCAAACAAGAAAATCTGTTCAAAAAAACATATCAATTATGTAACTGACAACATAACAACGTGCAAATATAAAGCCAACACAAAGCACGAAATAGTTATTTCAATTATGCTAAATCAAACTGATAATTTTCTTAATTGAAAACTGGATTAAACAAAGCCATAATTGAAATTTAGGAGAATGTTAAAATCCCGTTACGGGATGGTTTCGTTGTTCTTTTTAACCGTAGATACACATGTAGATCAGTAATGTATAGATAATCTACGCTTAAAAAGAACAACGGAATCATCCCGCAACGGGACTGTAGTCTTCCCCTGAAATTTAAATATGAAAAACCATTAAAACTCGATGAACCGCAAACTGAATCTTAATTAATATAAACATTTATTTCAAAGTTACATAATTGCTAAGTATTTGTATTGTACCCACCGCCCTTCAAGTAATTCAAAATCAATATCATAATTTTTCAAATGATGTTAGTTCTAAAGGTGGCTTCTTTGCGTATGGGAGGCGTTCATAAACAATGGTAAGATAATAGTCATGATTCCCAGTGGCACGAGTCCCATTTTTGGTAGAAATTACTAGCATATAATTCCAACCAGCGACACACTGTTTCAGTCCCATAGCTATTTTCACAAGAATAAAATTTGTTCCGGCCTTCTTGTTATGCTCGGATACTGCAAATTTTGCACACTTCATCACTGTCTTGTCGTTCAAGTTTTTTATCTCACGATAAGCACCCAGCATACGCCCATGAGGCCTACGCCCTTCAACTGAAAACAAATATGTGAAAACTAAGAAAGTTATTATGCAAACATCAATCAAGTGCGATGTATTTCCCATGTTTCTGTTGCTTCTTAGAAGTTTTATATACAGTGACCCTTTATTTATAATATTCTGAAATTAAAGTAACATGTATTTAGAGATCATTTGAAAATTGATTGTAAGGTTATCTAACCAATTGTAAAAATGGAAAACTTAATTAACTGCCATGTTATCGAAACAAACTGACATTAATCTTTATTCTTAGCTAGTCATTTATATCAGAGCCTATCCTGAACATTATTGGATCCTGGGCCAAATGCAAAAAATAGTGTCTTAAGTATTTTATATTTATAAAAGAACTAGAGTATTTATATAATATCAACAAAGCCCCAAAAATTATTTTGCTAAACATATTAATTTGTATAATCTCTTATGTAAGGCACAACCTCATCAAAATAGCTCACAATTCATCACGTATATAAAGGAAAAGTAATCTATTAGACTTATAAAGTGGGTCCAACTCACAAGTGATATTCTAACACGTCTTCTCACTTGTGATTCCTTCGGAAGCCCAAGCCCAACTGGGCTGGGTGAAGGGTACGTCATCGCACGGTCACCAATAGAATCGACAATAATGTGAGTCCTTCGGAAGCCCAACCCAACTGGGCTGGGTGACGGGTATGTCATCACACGGTCACCAATAGAACCGGCTATGATACCATGTAAGAAATTAGAGAAAAACGGGTGCGGTCCCACTAACATGAAGCGCACCATAACTAGAGAAAGCCATATGAAGTCCAAGTGGGGTTCCATCCTAAAACCAATTGGTGGAATGAGGAGTAGCCTATTAGACTTATAAAGTGGGTCTATTTTCTATGTATGAACGATGTGGGACAACTCACAAGTGATATTCTAACAGTTCTATAATACTAATATCCATTTTTAATTAAAAAGAGAATAACGAACCCTCATAACAATTAAAATTACTTAAGAGTTTTTAATTTTATTGTCAAAACTTCTATTGACATAGTTTTGCTATGGAATCATCGGATGACTCGACTTATGAAGTCATCCACACTTATTCACCAGTAATGTATTGACACGTGTCCTACAATAAGTACAATTTGGACATGTGTCAATACATTAAATGGTGGATGACTCCATAAGAAAACCATCCGAGAACTCAATAGAATTTTTGTCTATTGATGACATTGTCAATTTATGGAGAGGGAATTAGTGAGAGCCCCGTCTCAAAAACGATCACGTGTTAAAAATGAGTCACTGCCTGATAATAACACTTAATTCATGCTAGATTTGATAAGTAGACATTAATTTTATCTCCTTAATTTTAAAATTAGCTAGACGAACTAACTATCAATTCAATCTCCAATTATCTCTTGATAACTTCCAATTTAACTACTGGACATTATAAATAAAACTAAAACAATTACAAAAATATTTAACAGAAGCCAAAAAAAAAAAAATCATGGGAAATGTATCACACTTTGTTAATCTTTGCATAACTCACTTGATTTTGGTGTCTTTGGCTTTAGCCGAAGGACAAAAATGTCGAGAGCCCGAGCTTTTTGGTTGCAGGCAGGACATCGAATTGAACGATAAAGAGCTTGTGAGGCGTGTAAATTTTGCGATAGCCGAGCATAACAAAAAGGCGGGAAAAAATTTGATTCTTGTGAAGGTGATCATAGGAATGAAACAACCCGAAACTAACAACGACTATAAGTTTCTAATTTCGACCAAGGATGGTACTAATGTCAATGCCAATAGGGAGTTTTATATTGCTAATGTTTACGCTAAATGTCCTAAAAAGGGGTCTCGTATTAGACCACTAGAACTAAGGTCATTTGAAAAAATATGATATCAAATTTGGATACATATATATGTACCATGGAATGAAAGTCAAACATATCCAAATTAGTATTCATGAATAAATTATTTTTAAATAATTTTTATTCAATATGATTTAGTTTGCGATTCATTTTTAGATTATCGGGTTAAATTATACATATTTCTAAACATTAATCTGCTGCAGATTATTACTTATGAATAAAATATATATTCTAATCTTAGAGGATCTGCTGAATAATCTAATGATATAAATCATTGGTTAATTTATGCACATTTGTGAGTTTTTCACATTGATTTAATTAATATAATGATTGACAAATAAACATATCGTCAATATTTACTGTTTTTGTTTTGTCACATTAGAAAACATTCCACGATCTGATTCTGATTTTTAAATGATTAACATATCGTCAATAATTACTGTTTTTGATTCATGAATAAATTATTTTTAAATAATTTTTATTCAGTATGATTTAGTTTGCGATTCATTTTTAGATTATCGAGTTGAATTATACACATTTCTAAACATTAATCTGCTGCAGATTATTACTTATGAATAAAATATATATCCTAATCTTAGAGGATCTGCTGAATAATCTAATGATATAAATCATTGGTTAATTTATGCACATTTGTGAGTTTTTCACATTGATTTAATTAATATAATGATTGACAAATAAACATATCGTCAATATTTACTGTTTTTGTTTTGTCACATTAGAAAACATTCCACGATCTGATTCTGATTTTTAAATGATTAACATATCGTCAATAATTACTGTTTTTGATTCATGAATAAATTATTTTTAAATAATTTTTATTCAATATGATTTAGTTTGCGATTCATTTTTAGATTATCGAGTTGAATTATACACATTTCTAAACATTAATCTGCTGCAGATTATTACTTATGAATAAAATATATATCCTAATCTTAGAGGATCTGCTGAATAATCTAATGATATAAATCATTGGGTAATTTATGCACATTTGTGAGTTTTTCACATTGATTTAATTAATTTAATGATTGACAAATAAACATATCGTCAATAATTACTGTTTTTGTTTTGTCGCATTAGAAAACATTCCTCGATTTATTTCTCATCGTTTGATCCTCCGATGAATAGTCAAAATATTGAAAGATTGGTGTGTTTTGCCTTTATAATTTTATCTTTTCCTTTTCATCATTCTTATAATTCAACGGTAAACATCAAATCGTGTAAAATTGATTACGCAAAACTACTCCATTTTATACACAATGTTGTAACTTCAGCTTACTTCATTATGTGTGTGTTTTTTGTTTTTCGTTTGTTAGTCCAGCTTGTCTGGTTTCTCTCTTTTATAAAGTTTCCATCTACTTTATGGAGTTTCGTTTTGGTTTTGTGGTTGCCTTCTTGTTGGAATTGTACCTCTTGGTTTCCTCTAGAATTTCAAGAGGATAGATCCACCAGTTTTTGCCGTTTAAAAAAAAAAGTTTACTTCATATATAAAGTTTTGAAATAAACGAGGCGCTTCTAATTCATGAGCCTAGTTTGAGATTGTATTTGACTCGTTGGATTTGACAAATATAAAATTTTATGTAATTTATTAAACTTTTAATATAATTCGACTCATTAAGAACGAGAAGAATTGATTTTAACAGTATTTTTAATTATTTTGTATCAAGTACAAAGTCAAGGTTCGTGCGTGAGCTGAGCAAGCTGGCACATAGACATGTGCGGAAGCCAACACCTACTACACTAGGTGGATTGGTTTAGTCTTTTGAATCCCACAACAACATCTCATTACCATTAAAATGAATAACTTTGCTATTTATTCAGTTTTGAGGAAATAAAAAAAAACATGTATATAATTTGGAGGTATAAAAAAATGTTGATCATCCTGATACACAAATTTCACCAATTAAGCAAACTGTTTTAAAATTTTACAATGTTTGGGCCTTTATGTTGGGCATTGTTTGAATACACCGCATGTTGGAATGACAATACTTGGGTTGGGCCTGTACTTATGGGCATTTCCATTGGATATGCACTAAGAGCATCTCCAGTGGTACATGGATTGCTCTCTTCCATTGCCACCTAGCCTCCAAAATCCAATGTGGCATTCAATAAATCTAGAAGTCTTTCTACATCTAGAAAGACTTCTAGACATCTTCCATTTTATATTATATTATTTATGTTATATTTATGTTTTTACCAACCAATCATTATATTACATGTGTCAAATTATCTCACAAATGAGATTAACCATTGGAGACAATTTTATTTATTTTCCTTTCTCTACATCATTCATTTCAAAATAGACATTGAGCCATTGGGGATGCTCTAATGGTCCAATTGCAATTAGTGGGTCCCGTTCAAGCAGAGGAAAAGGAAGGTTCTTTTTCATTTCTCATCTTCTCTGCCAAAAACAGAGCCGAACAAAACATTACAAAATTAAATTGAATTAATTCGGTAGTCATGCACACCGGGAGAATAAAAATCTCAACTAATTTTTCCCGCAAGAAGCAAAAATCTTGATCCTTAAAGTGCGGTTGTCATCTTCTCAATCTCTGCCCAGAAACAGAGCCGAATTAATTCAATACCCATGCATAGAGAAGAATAATATCTCAACTAATTTTCCCGCAAGAAGCAAAAATCACCTTTTAATGTGATGTTATTCTTCAAGTGCAGAGGCTGAGTTATAGAAAAGAAAGGCTTTGCATGTCAGCTTGAAATGTATTAATAAGAGCTTCAAAACGAAAATAATAACTATAGCCTCTCATCAAAACCTTACTTCAAATTACAATTCAGACTGAGTTTAAAGGTGGAAAAAAGAGTAATATGAAGATATCATTGCTTGTAGTAGTCTTACTATTATGTACACTTTTGTCGAGCGGGCTTGGGTTTGAATACTCAGCGAATGAAGTGGAGGACCTCCGTAGCCTGTATGGCCGGTGGAGAGCCTACTACAAATTGGACGAGCCAACCAATGATCGGTTCCCGGCTTTCAGAGAGAATGTGCTGCGAATTCACCGTTTCAACCAGCTGGACGAGCCGTACAAGCTCGGGCTGAACCAGTTTTCAGACCTGACGGCCCAAGAGTTTGCTGCCCTGCACCGGTGCCAGCCGGGACCCCGCCAGCCCCTAGAGGAAGAATTCGGGCAGGAGCATGACATTTCAGACCTTCCAACCTCGGTCGACTGGAGAGCCAAAGGGGCTGTCACATACGTCAAGAATCAATTAAATTGCAGTAAGAACAAAATTAAGTTGTCCTAAATATTATTATTATTATTATTATTATTATTATTATTATTATTATTATTATTATCCCCCTCANTCAGGATCTTGCTGGGCTTTTTCGGCAGTGGGAGCCGTGGAGGGGATAAATTTCCTGCAGACGAGAAGGCTGGTTTCGTTGTCGGCCCAAGAGCTCGTGGACTGTGACAAACATAACAGTGGGTGCCGTGGAGGGTCTGAAGTCCGGGCATTTGACTTCATCAGGGACAGAGGCATCACATCCGAGCGGGTATATCCCTACGTGGGTAAACAGAGAATCTGCAATTCAACTAAAGTAAGTATATATACACACATTTTCATTGATCATGCATCAACACTAATTTGCTTTTGAAATGCATATGCATGTCTCTTATTCAATTATGAGTTTATGATTATGAATTCGTGATTATAGTATTTAACATTGTGTGCAGGTCAAGTCCCCCGTGGTGAAAATCACCGGATATAAGAGAATCCCTCCAAACAATGAAAAAGCACTGATGAAAGCCGTGGCACAGCAGCCTGTTTCGGCTGCGATTGCAGCCGACAATGATTTCGGGCACTACAAGACGGTAAAACACCCAACTACAAGTTTACCACTTTAACTAGACTCGCAATTCAATGAGTCATACAAGTTTCGTGTTTGTAACCTATGTGCAGGGAATTTATACCGGGAATTGCACCACGGATCTGGATCATGCTGTAACGGTGGTTGGGTACGGGACGACCAAACAAGGAATAAAATATTGGATCGTTAAAAATTCTTGGGGAGGCTCATGGGGAGAAAGTGGTTACATCCGGATGGCACGGGATGTTAAATACAAGTCGGGAATGTGTGGCATTGCTATGGAAGCCAGTTATCCCATGACAAACGTGCTTTCTGCAATATCTCATGATCACGGTCACGAGATGTGACACGGATGATGGATTTTCGAAATAAGTTAGGATATGTTATTTGCGTTTATCTATGTTTGCCGACTTGTTCCACGTTATTAAAGCTTTCTGCAATATTTATGTTCTGCTCACTAGTGATTGTTCTGTACATATTTTTACATACTTTTATCAACTCGTTTGGACAACTAGTCGAGCTCAGATCAATAAAAGCTCATCCTGAGCCCGAGCCCAAGAACCATGAGTTCAAACTCGGCTTGGCTCGCACCCCTATGTTTAACTTACATCGCAAGACCATTATGGATACAACAACCAACTTCAATCATTATTATCCAAATTAATCATTAAGTGATATATCATATCTTTTCAAAGGACATTAGTTTTAGGGGCATTACAGACCCCTTTCTGGGCGGGAGTTCATGAGCAACAATAAGATAATATTCAATGTTGGCATTAGCATGAGTACCATTTTTTGTAGAAATTAATAACTTATAATCGCCACCCCAACCTACTGCATATAATCCTATAATCACCTTCACAAAAACCAAGTTTGTTTGAGCCTTCTTATTATGCTCGATTACTGCAAAGTTTGCACACCTCATTACCTCTTGATCATTCAAGTCTTTGATCTCATTATAAGCACCCCTCATACGACTAGGAGGCCTACGCCCTTCAACCGAAAACAAAGATGTGAAAACTAAGAAAGTTATGAAAACATCAACCAAGTGCGATATATTTCCCATGTTTTCGTTGCTACTTGCAAATTTTATATACGGTGACCCATTATTTATAATATCCTAAAATTAAATTAGGATATACTTAGAGATAATTTGAAAATTGATTGTATGGTTATCTAACCAACTGTAAAAATGGAAAATTTAATTAACTGCCACTTTATCAAATCAAACTGGCATAAATCGATTGAGTAGTAGTTATTTCATAGTATCTGAAATCCACTATTCAGTATTCACGAATTCGTTGTAACCAAAAAGGAAGTTGTCTTGTCATCTATTATCTCTCCCAAAATGCACACATTTTCTTTTTCTCTATTTATTGTCACCTCTGACCTCCATAGTCTCAAAGTATACACTTTCTATATGACAAGTAAGCATATTCTGATAACGAAATATGCAGTTTAAAATCGTAGCCATTTATTTGCATCTCGTTCTCACCTTCAATTATAGCCCCAAAATATACTCTGTGTAATTGACTGATAAGCATTTTCTAATAATTACATCATTACATGCACTTTAAATATTTAAGTATGAAGTTAACGAAATTGGTAGTAACTAAGTATGCATTATGTATGAAATAATGTGCATTTCTGAAAATTGACGGTAATTTGGAAGATATCGACAATGTTCGTCGTGCCTACGGATCTTAAAGAGGCTCATACATGCAGCCTACGGAATTGTTTTCTAGCCCCGACGTGCAACTTCTCAGTTGAAATTGGATCGGCGGTGGTAAGAATAGGCGGGAGGCGAGAAGCTGGCCGGTCGAAACCTCTCTCTAATTTTCTCTAATTAAAAAATTAAATTTTGACCAATACATTTAAAAAATATTTAATGTTTGAAATTAACCTCAAATTCTCATATTATAGGCCCATTTCATCCAAATTCCATATATGAAACCAACAGGCTTCTAGCCTTTTAATACTATTTTTAAATTTATGTTTAAATTATTTTTAATTTTTAACAGGTTTATATAATGGCTAACGAAGTTATGTTTATACTAGTATGAGTCCCGTGCACTGCACGGGTAAGAGATATTCATTAATATTTATAAATTAAAATTTTTTTATTAAATAATATTTGTAAATTAAAAATATAGAATCAAATACCTATATTAATTTGTTGAAAATATTATATAAAGTTTAAATTGTGAAAAATTACATAAAAATGTCTATTTAAAATTAGTACACAATCCATGCGATACATATAACTGATAATAAATTACATTATATTCGTTTCAAAATAAGTGTCGTTTCAAATTTTTTATTCAGAAATTCGATTTGACTATAATGTGATTACATAAAACAATTATTTTGGTAAAATTTTATCATATATTTAACAACATATGTGAATAATAATTATAAATATAAAATTTATATCGTTTCATTACTTAAAATAATTTATTTTTGTATAAACTATTCAAATAAAAAAAATTAAGTAGTTGAGTAATTTATTGAACTATAAATAATTGACTATTTCATTCACGTCCAAGTTAATATTGACCCGTAAGTTATGAATAATTGTTTTTTTTTTTTTTTTAATTTTAAATAAAAATATTTTTATTTTTTTATATATTATATACCAAATTTAAACTATGCAACTAATAAAGGTAATAGCTGCAAGTTTTGTCAATATATTATATTTCACATTTAAATTATTCAACAAATAAAGGTAATAGCCGCAATATTTGACCAAAATAATTTTGTACATTAATTACATTAACTTAGGCAGGATTTTTCAAACTTTGGCAAGAAAAAAGAATTGCCCAATTTAGTAATTCTGAATTTTTAGGCGGGAAAACCAAATATTTTTTTATTGATTTTTAGTTACTATTTCAAGTAAATATCATTGTCTTTTTATATATTAATAGATGTCATATTTTTGTAGCGTGCTATGCCACGGGATTTCACGATTTGTTGATTATTAGATATTTAATGATAAATTGTTTGAATCAAATAATTTGTTGACATTAACGTGAAAAAAAAATATTATTTAGTAGTAAATTTAAATTTATATCATTCATGATATTAAATATTCAATATTTGATTTTATGTTTATATTAAGTACATATTACTTAGGTCACATAATTTCATAATTTTTAATTACTTATTTTGATTAATAATCAAATAATTTATTCCTTTTTCTTTTGAAAATCTAAGGACTCTTTTTTTTTCTCCCCCAACGAAATGAAATGAGTCTAAAATAATATATAGTTGGATGTGATTTACTTGCCAAACATTGGATGTGATTTATTGGTTAATAAATTGTTTAAGCGGGACATGCAAAAAATTTCAAAAATATTTGCTGAAAATTGTTCAAAACGAAAAATAGAAGCGGGAAAAAATGACTAAAGAAGCGGGAAATGAAATATTTTTTTCAAAGTTTTTCAAATAGTTTTTCTTCTCCTTATTATATAGTAATAGATATCAAACATAAATTATTAATAATCGTCAAATAAACATTGAAGAATTAGGTCGGCCGAAACATACATAATTTGCAATATTTCTATAAAATGTCCTACATTTTTCATTTTACTCGCATAATTAGTTAATTACTGATAGCAGCGTCATTTTAATGACTTCTCCAATGTTAATGAATAATGATAACAAAAATGATATAAAATGGTAGTACTGATCACTGAATCTTGAGATGAATGACAACAAAATTTATAAAACGGTAGTACTGATAATCTTGAATGAATAAAAAATTAATTACATAATTAATAAAAGTTTCTCAAATTTATTCATTCAGCTTATAAATGGGCAAGACTCAGACTTTCACAACAGGAGTAAATAGATACATTCGAATCATGCCTAAATTGATATTATATCTTTTCAAATGACATTAGTTGGAGTGATATGATATGAGACCCTTTTCTAGGTTGACGTTTCACATTAACGATAGCAATGTAGTATTCGACATTAGCATCAGCAGGAACACCATTCTTAGTCGAAACTAACAACTTATAATCACTGTTTTTTACGGGATCCATCATTCCTAAAACCAACTTCATGAGAATCAATTTTTTTCCAGCATTTTTGTTATGTTCAGCCACGGCAAATTTCGCACACCTGACAACATCTTTATCGTTCAACTTTATGATCTCCTGTCTGGATGTTTTCTCAAACTTGCTACCATAATCACGTCGAGTGTGCATATGTCCCTCAATTGAAACCAAATACGCCAATGCTAAGAGAGTTATGCAATGATTATTAACTAAGAATGATATATTTTTCATGTTTTCTCTGCTCCTCGTAAATCTATGGTGATTGCTCTATTCCTATTTAAAATGCCAAGTAAATTATTAAGAGATTATTGGAAAATTGGATTGATACTCATCTCCATCTAACCAATTATAAAATTGGAAAACAAAATTAATGGCCACTTATCAAATCAACCATGCATTACTTGCAACAGTTAACTGCTATCTCATTTTCTACACGTGTCATTGTGAACAAAATGTTTCAAGAAATCAATGTCAAAAGTTTATGAACATTAACAGAAAAGAGAAAACTCACGCAAAGGGAGATGGCTCTGTTGAAGTTCATGATAACCAGATATTTTGGGAAGTAATTTTAAATTGTATTATTTCTCATCTCAAACTTGTAACAGTACAAAGGTCACCTATTTATACTTGTAGAAGAACAAACACGCTTTTGTTAATACTAAAGGCTAACAACTATGCTTAGCCTATATAATGCCACCTGTCAACTTAGAAAATAGAAACAAAGTCAAAACTCATCACATATTCAACACACCCCCCTCAAGTGGAATGGCAAATGGAATTTGTCAATCCCAACTTGCAAACCATGGATTTGAAAGGAGAACCACCAAGAGCTTTTGTAAATCCATCTGCCAACTGCTGAAAGAAGAAATATGACTGGGAGCAATGAGGCCTTCTTTAAATTTGTGTCGAACCAAATGACAATCAATGTCCAAATGCTTAGTACGCTCGTGGAAGACAGGATTCTCCCCAATGTATAAAGCAGATTGGTTATCACATAATAACGGTATAGGCAAGGTAATAGGCAGCTGTAAATCCTGAGAGATGTAGAACAACCATTGAAGTTCACAGGTAGTAGGACTCAGTGCCCTATATTCGGATTCAGCGGAAGACTTAGAAACTGTAGTCTGTTTCTTGGTTTTCCAAGACACCAAAGAATTGCCCAGGAAAATACAAAATCCTGTTAGAGATCTTCTAGTATCAAGACAAGCACCCCAATCAGCATCATAGTATGCAGTGAATTTAAAATCATTTGTAACAGGATAATACAAACCAAGAGAAGGGGTGCTCTTCAAATATCTAAGAACATGCATTGCGGCACTCCAATGAGAAGAATAAGGGTCATTGACAAACTGAGAAAGCTGTTGAACAGCAAAAGAAATGTCAGGCCTGGTAAGATTCAAGTAGAGCAACCGGCCCACTAATCTCCTGTAAGAATCCACCTCCTCCAAAGGAGTGCCATCTTTACTTTTCAAGACCAAACCATGAGGAAAAGGGGTCACAGCAGTCCTGCTATGATCTAGCTTCATGTCATGTAATAGGTCCAGAATATATTTTCTCTGGTTCAGAAAGGTGCCTTTTTCTCTTCTTGCAATCTCAACCCCTAAGAAGAACTTAGCAAATCCTAAGTCCTTAATAGTGAACACCTTATCCAAATGAGTTTTTAAATCCTCTATCAATTCCAGCCTTGGTCCCATAATAAGTACATCATCTACATATACCAGAAGGGCAAGAAAATCCTGACCAGTGGACTTGGTGAACAAGCAGTGGTCATTCGGAGATTGAAGAAAACCATAGGATAACAGTTTGCCACAAAATTTCTGATTCCATTCTCTTGAAGCTTGCTTAAGTCCATACAAACTCCTTTTAAGTCTACACACTTCACCATCTTTATGCTTTGAATAACCCTGTGGACACTCCATATATATTTCTTCCTTTAAATGCCCATGCAAAAAGGCATTATTAATATCAATTTGGCAAAGTGGCCAAGCCTTAGCAACACTAATGGCCAAAAACAGCCTGACAGTCACCTGTTTGGCTACTGGGGAAAAACAATTCACATAATCTACACCATATGTTTGTGTGTAGCCCTTGGCCACCAACCGGGCTTTGAACCTATCAATAGAACCATCAGCCTTTCTTTTCACTTTATAGACCCATTTATTACCAATAGGTCTCTTTCCTGGTGGCAACTGCACTAAATCCCAAGTATCATTCTTTTCAAGAGCCTCAAGCTCTTGTTGCATAGCCTTAACCCACTCAGCACTAGTCTTTGCCTGATTATAAGTAGTAGGTTCTTGCATAATGGACACATTATATAGAAAGGCAAGATATTCAGGTGTATGTTGTAAAGTTTATGTAGGGAAAAGAATAGGATTACCTATACAGGGGACCTCAGCAGATTGAGTGATGGTGGCAGATGGAAGATGCATGGTAGATGAACAGGTCACATAGTCATCAAGCCAATGTGGTCTTGTTTTGGTTCTGATAGGTCTAATGGATGGAATTGAAGATATTTGAGGAGAAGGTATTGGTGGAACTTGTAAGGGTTCAGATATTGGTTGATTTGAACTGGTATTAGGAAGAACAGGAGCAATGGCTTCAGATATTGGAATATTTGGCAAAGGAATGGGTGTTTGATCATGTGGCTGCTCTTGATGATATGGAAAAATATCCACTGAGATTTGGACATCTCTACTAATGAAAGCACCCTACGATACAAATTTATAAATATTAATTAAAATAATTTTCTAAATTATATAAAATTGAAATAACAAAGGTAAATATTACCTGTTCATCATGAAACAGTATATAAAATTGAAATAGCAAAGGTAAATATTACCTGTTCATCATGAAACAGTATATGGAATGCGTTACAGCTCTCCCGTTCGTGATGTGTTTCAATAACCGTTTGTGATGGGTTTCAATAATGCGGGGTGCTCTCGATGCAAAATGTTTCTTTTGTTAACGGAATCAAGTGTACTCCAGCCTGGAAGCATTATATTGTATATGCGATGAAAAATTATTTTCTGTATTTTTTTTCTCTGAACTCGTGAATGATGAGTTGTAATGGTGGTAGTGAATATCCTTTTATACAATTTTTTATTAACCAACGGTGATAAGATAATTATGGATTGTATTTGGATAGATAGTAAGTCCCATGATTTTTGCAACGGCAATCAATTTCACATATTTTTTATTAACCAAAAGTGATAAGATAGTTATGGATTGTATTTGGATAGATAGTAAGTACCATGATTTTTCCAACGGACAATCAATTTCACATGCTTAATTAACGGAAATATCACCATTATTAAGGAGAATATCCATTTGCTTAATTAACGCAAATTTCATGCTAAATTAACGAAATATCCACTGCCTTTTCACGATTTTTCTTCCGATTTTAAAGTAGAATACATAAATAGAAAGTCAAAAGTCAACTCAATTATTTTTAGGTTTCTAAAAAAGGATTTTTACATCAACCTTTTTAGATATATATAGATTATGCTTGCCATTGTTTCGGCTACACTAGAAAGTTCAATTTTAATTACACAAATAATACTCGTTTAAAAATATTTGCATTATAGTCAGAGATTAAGTTTATATTTGTAGTTTTACTAGAATTCGGTTGATATCAAAAGTTGATTTAAATACTAGCTAAATTAATGGTGATAATATCAATACCAAAAAAGGACTCATATGGGCTTTGGGCCTATCGCCCTCGACCATTCTTATAAAGCATGGCCCTGAGACTTGAGCTTATACACTGGGCTTAGGCCTATTGTCCTCGCCCATTTTTAATAAAGCATTTTCACGAGACTTTGAGCTTGTATTACATTGCATATAATTTGCAATTCTAAAACATGTCCTACATTCTACACACAATTAGTTAATTACTGGGAGCTGCGTCATTTTAATGGCTTTTCGAATGTTAATAAATAATGATAACAAAAATAATTTAAAATGGTACTGAATCTTGACATGAATGACAAGAAAAATAATATAGAACGGTATTACTGATAATCTTGAAATGAATAAAAAATTAAATACATAATTAACAAACTTATCTCAAATTTATTCATTCAGTATTATACATTGGATATACTCAGACTTTCATTGCAAGAGTAAATAGATACATGAGTGAATGACTAGCCATCACCAACATTGGAATCAAGGCTAAATTGATATTATATCTTTTCAAATGACATTAGTTCGAGTGGTCTGATACGATACCCTTTTCTAGGTTTACGTTTTCAATTACCATAGCAATGTAGTATTCAATATTAGCATCTGCATGATCAGCATCTTTAGTTGAAACTAACAACTTATAATCACTGTTTTTTAAGGGATCCATCATTCCTAAATTAAACCAACTTTATGAGAATCAATTTTTTTCCAACATCTATACTTATATTAAAAGGTATATCATTACCAGATTTAGTATAAAGAAAAGTCAACAACATTTATTGCATTACTATTTCCGTATTATACAATTTATATCTATACTTATATAAAAGGAGATTCTATTTACTACATTTACTATCCAAAAAAATCAACTGCATTAAATGCCATTACTATTTTGGTATTATAATATTTTATTTATTTAATTGATTTAGTTATTTGTTTTATTTTAAGAAGGTAAGTACAGTAAAAAAAAATTAATTTAAAAAAATAAAATACCAAATAAAAATGTACACTTTGACTTATTTGATTATATTTGGTATTTGATTATACCAAATATATTCCCATTTAGTATATACATTAAATACTTACTAAAGTATTTATTTGTTTTATTTGTCAAAGTTAAGTATATATTTGTTTATATTATCAAATCATAAAAAAATATTAAATCCATATTGTAAAAAAAAATCATATAATTTTATAACAATTCTACTACACTATTTAACAATATTTTTTTATTATATAATAAAATAATAATTAAATATTATATGGTGAACAACAATAAGTAAAACTGTTACTTTCTCTTATATCAAAGGATAAATTTATATGCTAAAATTAAATTTATATTTTAGTAAGATAATATATTAATTATTTTACAAGCTAGCCCTAACATGCTCATATTTAATGTTTTAAAAGATGTAGAAAAAAAAACTTATAATAATTCTATTGTTTTTTAGACTTAAATGTTGATTAAAAGAGGTAAAAATTCCTAATTTTTTAGACTTAAGCGTTGATTAACACCATAGATTGAGAGTTTATATTTATTAAAATTCCTAATTGTAATAAAAAAAATTAATTTTTGTTATATTTTAGAATATCTTTAAATTCATTATAAAAAAGAAAAAAGAAAAAAAAAACTACAATGAAAAAAACAAGTCAGCTATATATCGATTTGTTGTACTCCTCAAATCACATTCACAATTTGGCTACAAGGAAAGGAAACTCATTGATTAAAATATTATTTTGTCAGTAGTCTTAATGTACAAGAGACTTTAAGACTCTACTTGAATATTATAAAACTTTTATTGAACATTGTACAATTTTTTTGCGTATTATAAATTTTTATTGAATATTGCATCTTATAATATAATATTCTCCAAATAAATATATCTCGTGCTTCGCACGGGTCACGTACTATATATATCCCGTACATTTTTCTTTATTCATGTATATAATTAGAAGCCTGGATAAATAACCTTAAAATTGTGCAACCCGTGCATCGCACGGGCTCTGTACTAGTTATTGTTATGTTCAGTCACCGCGATTGCGCACACCTAACAACCTCTTTACCGTTCAAAATTATGATTTCCTGTCTGGTAAAAAAAATCATCGATCTAGCTGAGCTGTTCAATTTACGAATATATTTAGTATAATTCTAGCATCCCCGTCATCTAAGAAAATTGAGTATTTTACTTGTAATGTGTATAACTTGTATATAATATGCATATACTTTTATTATCTACTGTTTATGTTTCGATAACAGTTGTGTCTCTTTTGTTTATAAATAAATAATACTATACATAAAATGATTTTGATTCTTACATAATCTACTGGTATAACTAACGTATATGTGTAGATTTACTATATTTAGAAAATATTTTTATTTCGTGGCCATAAACGTTAGTTAAACAATAAACATTCAATTATATGACTCCGCCATGTTTTGGTCTTTTATAAGTAAATTTCATATCAAACAAGAAAATCTGTTCAAAAAAACATATCAATTATGTAACTGACAACTTAACAACATGCAAATATAAAGCCAACACAAAGCACGAAATAGTTATTTCAATTATGCTAAATCAAACTGATAATTTTCTTAATTGAAAACTGGATTAAACAAAGCCATAATTGAAATTTAGGAGAATGTTAAAATCCCGTTACGGGATGGTTTCGTTGTTCTTTTTAACTGTAGATACACATGTAGATCAGTAATGTATAGACAATCTACGCTTAAAAAGAACAACGGAATCATCCCGCAACGGGACTGTAGTCTTCCCCTGAAATTTAAATATGAAAAACCATTAAAACTCGATGAACCGCAAACTGAATCTTAATTAATATAAACATTTATTTCAAAGTTACATAATTGCTAAGTATTTGTATTGTACCCACCGCCCTTCAAGTAATTCAAAATCAATATCATAATTTTTCAAATGATGTTAGTTCTAAAGGTGGCTTCTTTGCGTATGGGAGGCGTTCATAAACAATGGTAAGATAATAGTCATGATTCCCAGTGGCACGAGTCCCATTTTTGGTAGAAATTACTAGCATATAATTCCAACCAGCGACACACTGTTTCAGTCCCATAGCTATTTTCACAAGAATAAAATTTGTTCCGGCCTTCTTGTTATGCTCGGATACTGCAATTTTTGCACACTTCATCATTGTCTTGTCGTTCAAGTTTTTTATCTCACGATAAGCACCCAGCATACGCCCATGAGGCCTACGCCCTTCAACTGAAAACAAATATGTGAAAACTAAGAAAGTTATTATGCAAACATCAATCAAGTGCGATGTATTTCCCATGTTTCTGTTGCTTCTTAGAAGTTTTATATACAGTGACCCTTTATTTATAATATTCTGAAATTAAAGTAACATGTATTTAGAGATCATTTGAAAATTGATTGTAAGGTTATCTAACCAATTGTAAAAATGGAAAACTTAATTAACTGCCATGTAATCGAAACAAACTGACATTAATCTTTATTCTTAGCTAGTCATTATATCAGAGCCTATCCTGAACATTATTGGATCTTGGGCCAAATGCAAAAAATAGTGTCTTAAGTATTTTATATTTATAAAAGAACTAGAGTATTTATATAATATCAACAAAGCCCCAAAAATTATTTTGCTAAACATATTAATTTGTATAATCTCTTATGTAAGGCACAACTTCATCAAAATAGCTCACAATTCATCACGTATATAAAGGAAAAGTAACCTATTAGACTTATAAAGTGGGTCCAACTCACAAGTGATATTCTAACACGTCTTCTCACTTGTGATTCCTTCGGAAATGTGAGTCCTTCGGAAGCCCAACCCAACTGGGCTGGGTGACGGGTACGTCATCACACGGTCATCAATAGAACCGGCTATGATACCATGTAAGAAACTGGAGAAAAACGGGTGCGGTCCCACTAACATGAAGCGCACCATAACTAGAGAAAGCCATATGAAGTCCAAGTGGGGTTCCATCCTAAAACCAATTGGTGGAATGAGGAGTAGCCTATTAGACTTATAAAGTGGGTCTATTTTCTATGTATGAACGATGTGGAACAACTCACAAGTGATATTCTAACAGTTCTATAATACTAATATCCATTTTTAATTAAAAAGAGAATAACGAACCCTCATAACAATTAAAATTACTTAAGAGTTTTTAATTTTATTGTCAAAACTTCTATTGACACAGTTTTGCTATGGAATCATCGGATGACTCGACTTATGAAGTCATCCACACTTATTCACCAATAATGTATTGACACGTGTCATACAATAAGTACAATTTGGACATGTGTCAATACATTAAATGGTGGATGACTCCATAAGAAAACCATCCGAGAACTCAATAGAATTTTTGTCTATTGACATTGTCAATTTATCATAAGGGGAGAGGGAATTAGTGAGAGCCCCGTCTCAAAAACGATCACGTGTTAAAAATGAGTCACTGCCTGATAATAACACTTAATTCATGCTAGATTTGATAAGTAGACATTAATTTTATCTCCTTAATTTTAAAATTAGCTAGACGAACTAACTATCAGTTCAATCTCCAATTATCTCTTGATAACTTCCAATTTAACTACTGGACATTATAAATAAAACTAAAGCAATTACAAAAGATTTAACAGAAGCCAAAAAAAAATCATGGGAAATGTATCACACTTTGTTAATCTTTGCATAACTCTCTTGATTTTGGTGTCTCTGGCTTTAGCCGAAGGACAAAAATGTCGAGAGCCCGAGCATTTCGGTTGCAGGCAGGACATCGAATTGAACGATAAAGAGCTTGTGAGGCGTGTAAATTTTGCGATAGCCGAGCATAACAAAAAGGCGGGAAAAAATTTGATTCTTGTGAAGGTGATCATAGGAATGAAACAACTCGAAACTAACAACGACTATAAGTTTCTAATTTCGACCAAGGATGGTACTAATGTCAATGCTAATAGGGAGTTTTATATTGCTAATGTTTACGCTAAATGTCCTCCTAAAAAGGGGTCTCGTATTAGACCACTAGAACTAAGGTCATTTGAAAAAATATAATATCAAATTTGGATACATATATATGTACCATGGAATGAAAGTCAAACATATCCAAATTAGTATTCATGAATAAATTATTTTTAAATAATTTTTATTCAATATGATTTAGTTTGCGATTCATTTTTAGATTATCGGGTTGAATTATACATATTTCTAAACATTAATCTGCTGCAGATTATTACTTATGAATAAAATATATATTCTAATCTTAGAGGATCTGCTGAATAATCTAATGATATAAATCATTGGTTAATTTATGCACATTTGTGAGTTTTTCACATTGATTTAATTAATATAATGATTGACAAATAAACATATCGTCAATATTTACTGTTTTTGTTTTGCCACATTAGAAAACATTCCACGATCTGATTCTGATTTTTAAATGATTAACACATCGTCAATAATTACTGTTTTTGATCCATGAATAAATTACTTTTAAATAATTTTTATTCAGTATGATTTAGTTTGCGATTCATTTTTAGATTATCGAGTTGAATTATACACATTTCTAAACATTAATTCGCTGCAGATTATTACTTATGAATAAAATATATATTCTAATCTTAGAGGATCTGCTGAATAATCTAATGATATAAATCATTGGTTAATTTATGCACATTTGTGAGTTTTTCACATTGATTTAATTAATTTAATGAGTTTATCTACACGAGTTTATCTCTGATTTGAGTTTAAAAAATCTCATCTCTTATCTATAAAGATTTTAAAAAATAAAATAAAATAAAAATCAATTCATAATTACTACTATAAATCAATTATCTCTTTAAAAGGCTAATTTTCATCGGTCTAATTACTAATATTTTTACAAATATTCGAGTTTATCTCTTATTTGTTACATTGCATCTCACGATTTTAAAAAACCTCATCTCTTATCTATAAAGATTTTAAAAAATAAAATAAAATAAAAACCAATTCATAATTACTACTAGAAATTCATTATCTACTTTAAAAGGCTAATCGGTCTAATTACTAATATTTTTACAAATATTATAAGCTTACAATACATCCTCGATAACAACGTAAAAAAATATAATAACAATGGTGTGTAATCAAATAATTTTTTGTAGACGGAAGTAACGCCATAAATTCGGTATTATCTGATATAATGTCTTTATTAAATTATGCTCATAATATTTTAGATACTTTAAACGAATTGTTTAGACATTTTTTTACATATTCGTCTATATATACATATACACATGCATAATTGATGTTAAATTTAAATATTTGTAGACCTGTTTTCCTTACAAAATAGTCTAGAAAAATCTTTTTTACGCCATGTTAAATTCAAATGTTTTTAGATATGTTCCTTCTAATAGAAAAATTGTAGGTGACTTCACATCTTTCAAAAATAATATAGAAAATTCTGATTACTCTTACAAATACTAATATAATATTTTAGGTGTTTTTAATATTAAATATACAAATTTTATATTCTCTTATACAAAATAATGTAAAATTTATATTCTCTTATACAAAATAATTTTACATTGTTTGACCCTGAATCTTTAATTTTATAATTATTAAGTATTGTTTATCCTCTCTTTAATTTATAATTATTTTTTTCTTCCTTTTTTTAAATAAGATCAATGGTAGGTTCCACTTCCGCCATTGAGTGACTCAAACTCGGGGTCTATTTATAATATTGTTAATTTAATATTGTTCCCGTGCATCGCACGGGATACACACAAATTTGTTTCAAAGAATAAAAGGTTAGAGAGGTTATGTGAATGATGTTCGAAAATAATATAATTTAATTCATGAAAAATGTGGAAGCGAATTTAAACTTTTGGAGAAGTACTGTCTCGCTTTTTCTCATAACTTTATTTCATTAAGATAGTGTTTATCCGACGAGTACGTAGGAATTAAGCGATAAGACACTTGAAGAAAGAGAACATGTGTGAATTATCAAAATAAACCTCTTGCTCAAATCTTATATTACTCTTTTTATTCTCCAATATCATTTATTTTTATACAAGTTAAATAATAATAGCTAATTCCAAATATATATAAGAAAGAAAAGTTACATTAATTTTTTCATTAAAACACTTCCAACCTCAAAATTCTTGTACTTATTGTTCTTCCGTTCTCCATTTTAGTAGAAATTCTGTGTAGTAAAGAAAATTGTTGTTTAATTCATGTATATTTTGTACTTATCAACCAACACAAAATTTCCATCATAAATAAAATAACCATTGTACAAAATTTAATTGGTATCAAAAATTGTACAAAATTTAATGAGTTACCAATTAACTGTTGCAACTTGCAAGTAATGCATGACTGGTTTGATAAGTAACCATTAATTTTGTTTTCCCAATTTTATAATTGGTTAGATGAAGATGAGTATCAATTCAATTTTCCAATAATCTCTTACAAATTTACTTGGCATTTTTAAATATGAATAGAGCGCAATCACCATAGATTTACGAGGAGAAGAGAAAACATGGGAAATGTATCATTCTTAGTTAATAATAATCTTTGCATAACTCTCTTAACATTAGTGCTTTTGGTTTCAATAGAAGGACATATGCACACTCGAGATGATTATGTTAGCAAGTACTTTGAGATGACATCCAGACAGGAGATCACATATTTGAAAGGTAAAGAGGTTGTCAGGTGTGCAATGTTCGCGGTGGCTGAACATAACAAGAATGTCGGAAAAAAATTGATTCTCATGAAGGTGGTTTTAGGAATGATGGATCCCGTAAAAGAGAGCGATTATAAGTTGTTAGTTTCGACTAAAGATGGTGATCATGCAAATGCTAATGTCGAATACTACATTGCTATCGTCAATGCAAAACGTAAACCTAGAAATGGGTCTCGTATCAGACCACTCGAACTAATGTCCTTTGAAAAGATATAATATAATTATCAGTTTAGCCTTGATTCCAATGTTGTTGGTGATGGCTAGTGATCAATTACTCATGTATCTATTTACTCTTGCAATGAAAGCCTTGAGTATATCCAATTTATAATACCGAATGAATAAATTTGAGTTACGGATGTTAATTATATGATTTAATTTTTTATTCATTTCAAGATAATCAGTAATAACGTTTTATAATATTTTTCTTGTCATTCATGTCAAGATTTAGTACTACCATTTTATATTATTTTTGTTATCATTATTTATTAACATTCGAAAAGTCATTAAAATGACGCAGCTCCCAGTAATTAACTAATTGTGTGTAGAATGTAGGACATGTTTTAGAATTGCAAATTATATGCATTGTACTACAAGCTCAAAGTCTCATGAAATTGCTTTATGAAAAATGGGTGAGGACGATAGGCCTAAGGCCCAGTGTACAATAGAATGGTGCAGAGAACGCACACACACACATTGTGCATTTGACTAATTGTTTCAAGACTGTAGACTCTATTTTATTTTTTGAAAAATGCTACAAGTACATAATAAATGTACATAGAGGTGTACATAGCACTCACATAGAGTGGGGTCCACTTAATTTTTATTTCAATCTCACTCAATGTAATTGTTATGTACACCCGTATATATATACAATATTATGTACCTATAGTATTTCTTTTTTTTTTATATATATATATATATATATATACATTTTTCTTATCCAAAGTGTATTTATTGCATGACACGTGTCAATACACTATTGGTGAATAAGTGTGGATGATTCCATAAGCCGAGCCATCCGATGGCTTCATAGCAAAACTGACGTTCTATAATACTAATATCCATTTTTAATTAAAAAGAAACTAATGGACCCTCACAATTAAAATTACTTAAGAGTTCTTAATTTTATTGCCAAAACTTCTATTGAGATTATCAATTTATCATCAAGGGGAGAGGGATTTACTACCTGATATTAACATTTAATGCATGCTAGATTTGATAATTGGACATTAATTTTATTTCCCTAGTTTTACAATTAACTAGACGAAATAAATATCAATACAATCTCCAATTATCTCTTAATAAATGGCAATTTAACTACTCGGCATTATAAATAAAAATAAAACAATCACCATAAGATTTACCAGAAGCGAGAAAAAAAAAAAAAAAAATCATGGGAAATGTATCACTCGTTAATATTTGCATAACTCTCTTGATTTTGGTGTCTTTGGCTTTAGCCGAAGGACATAAATGTCGAGAGCCCGAGCTTTTTGGTGGCAGGCAGAACATCCCGGAACTGAACGATAAAGAGCTCGTGAGGCATGTAAATTTTGCGATAGCCGAGTATAACAAAAAGGCGGGAAAAGATTTGATTCTTGTGAAGGTGATCATAGGAATGAAACAACCCGAAACTAACAATGACTATAAGTTTCTAATTTCGACCAAGGATGGTACTAATGTCAATGCCAATAGGGAGTTTTATATTGCTAATGTTTACGCTAAATGTCCTCCTAAAAAGGGGTCTCGTATAAGACCACTCGAACTAAGGTCATTTGAAAAAATATGATATCAAATTTGGATACATATATATGTACCATGGAATGAAAGTCAAACATATCCAAATCAGTATTGAATAAATTATTTTTAGATAATTTTTATTCACTATGATTTAGTTTGCGATTCATTTTAAGATTATCAGGTTGAATATTATACAAATTTCTAATCATTAATCTTTTGCAAGTATAGTTTATATATATACTCACAAGTCACAATCAATAAATAATAACAATCAATCTTTTACAAAATTTTGAGAAGTGTTATTGAATTCAAAGTCAAATAAATTAATCCACAACCAATATTTTGCAACAGTTTGAGATAATTCAATGTCAAATAAATTGATCCATATGCTGATATGCACGAATAAAAGTGTACTAAATATTAATTTTTAAATATAAGATACACCCAGTTAATTTAAGTCCATCAAAATTCCAAACTTTTTAATAACAATGGCAAGCATATAATTATATTATAATGAACCTATAAGAAGCGATTTTAGCATTAATAAAAAAATTATATTTTTCTTAAGTGACTTGGAATCGAAGTAATGGTCCAATTGCAATAATACTTGGGTTGGGCATATATATACACCGAATGTTGGAATGACAATACTTGGGTTGGGCCTGTACTTAAGGGCATATCCATTGGATATTCACTAATGGTCCAATTACATTTACTGGGGCCCGTTCAAACACAAGAAAAGCAAGATTTTCTTCATTTCTCATCTTCTCAGTCTGCAAAAAACAGAGTCGAACAAAAAATTACAAAACTAAATTGAATTAATCGGCATGCACGTAGGGAGAATAAAAATCTCAACTAATTTTTCCCGCAAGAAGCAAAAACCTTGATAATGCTTTCCTCTTCTCATCTTCGCAGTCTCTGCCCAGAAACAGAGCGGAATTGATTCAGTACGCATGCATAAAGAAGAATAATATCTCAAACTAATTTTCCCGAAAGAAGCAAAAATCTGGTTTTAATGTGATGTTATTCTTAACTTGCAGAGGCTGAGTTAGTGATAGGAAAGGCTTTGGTTGAAATGTATTAATAAGAGCTTGAAAACCAAAATAATATCTGTAGTTCTATATCCTCTCATCACTTTCACTTCCGGCTGAGTATAAGGGACAAAAAAAAAGAAGAAAAAAAACAGATTAATATGAAGATATCATTGATTTTACTACTCTTAGTCTTATGTACACTTTTGTTGAGCGGGCTGGGGTTTGAATATGCAGCGGATGAATTGGAGGACATGGGTAGGCTGTACGAGCGGTGGAGAGCCCACTACAAGTTGGATGAGCAGGTGAATAATCGATTCTTCGCGGTGGACGAGCAGATGAATAATCGGTTCACGGTGTTCAGAGAGAACGTGCTGCGAATTCACCGTTTTAACGAGCTGGACGAGCCGTACAAGCTCGGGCTCAACCAGTTTTCAGACCTGACGAGCGGTGAGTTCGCGGCCCTCCACACGTGTCTGAGGAGTCCCGACCCCACCAGCCATCTCGAGTACGACTTTACGACTCATGCCAACATTTCCCTTGCCGACTTGCCTCCTCGGTCGACTGGAGAGCTCGAGGGGCCGTCACCTCTGTCAAGGCTAATATCGACTGTGGTATGTAATTAAGTTTAATTCCCTTTTTTTCTTTCTTCTTTTTTGGTATCATTTTTTTACCCTGTTGTGGTGTATCAGGGGCTTGCTGGGCATTTTCAACAGTCGGGTCAATGGAGGGTCTGCATTTCATCCGCACGGGGAAGCTGCTTTCGTTATCAGCCCAAGAGCTTGTCGATTGCGACAAAAGAAACCTTGGGTGTGAAGGAGGTTTTCCGAGAATTGCCTTTGACTTCATCAGGGACAGAGGCATCACATCTGACCAGATTTATCCCTACCAGGATAGACAGGGGACTTGCAATGTTGCAAAAGTAAGAATATTAGAGGTCAAGTTAACTACAACTCTGAAAAAAGCATGTGTAATTATTGTGTGTGTTAATAAATTGAGATGTGAAGTTATTTGGACCCTCCCAAGTATGACAAAGTTTTTAATTAATTAATAAATTAATTATTATTATTATTATTTTTTTTTCGTGTGTGTGTGTGTAGGTAATGTCTCCAGTTGTGAGGATCGACGGGTTCAGGAGAGTCCCTGTGAACAATGAGATGGCATTGATGCGAGCCGTCGCGCAACAACCTGTTTCTGTCCTGATTTCGACTGGCGGTAATTTCGGTGCTTACAAGACGGTAAGTTAAAATACACGTTTTTCCCACTAATTATCTATTCGGTTAAGTTAGAAAGTTACTAAAGGTATTTTTGTTGTTTTTTACCTATGGCTACAGGGAGTTTTCACCGGTCATTGCGGGATAGATCACGCAGTGACAGTGGTAGGATACGGCAAGAGCAAGGACGGAAGGAAATATTGGATAGTTAAAAATTCGTGGGGCAGTTCGTGGGGTGACAAAGGATACATTTTGTTAGGTAGAGATATGAAGAAGAAGGGTGGCCAGTGCAACATTGCAGTGGAACCTACATATCCCATTATTAATAAGAAGCACCAGCATATGATGATATGTGATTGTTTCAATTAATTTTTTTAAGTATTAAATTGGAACTGATGAAGATATGATCAATATCAACTGAGTATTTTTAATTGTTCCCTCTCTTTTTTGTTTTTTATTTATTTATATTGCAATTATGCAAGACGAGAGTGCTAAAATCTCAACCAGTTCTCCAAATTTTTTGGGTCTATTGTTGATCCAATTCACTTACTGTGTTTGGGCCGGATTTATTTGAATACACAAATATGACACAATGACAATACGACATGTTGGACATACATACACACACTAATGTCCTAATCACAGTATCTGAACCTATATAACAAAAGAAAATGACCACCTTTATTTAATTAATCGGAGAATAAAAATCTCAGTTATTTTTTTTTAAGAAGATAATAATATTTGAATTATTTTTTTTTATCACCTGTATTGAATAAATAAATGTTATATTATAGTTAGTAAAAATCAATTACTTTATTAAATACACAATGAATTTTTATTTTATTTTTTTAATATTTTCAATTTTAAAGTTCTAATTGAAGCTGAGTAATTATGTGTGTAAAGTGTATAATGTAAACTACAAAATAGTCTTTTTGGAGAACTGCAAGGTGTTCATATGTGTTACAATATCAAGCATGGGCTTGGTTTATGAGGAAAATGGGCTTGATTTATGAAAATGGACAAGAAATGTACAAGCACATATCTCATGGGCTTGCTTTACGAGAAATGGACAAGGGCGATAGGCTCAAGACCCATTCCCTCTCTCTCCACATTCCAAATGCAGCAAATACAATATTTGGGCCTTTACTTTTGGTGTGGGCATTACCATTGCATACACAATCAAGGTCTCCCGAGAGACAACAATGACTTGATTAGTCGCACGTAGTGCAGTTAAATTAAACGACTTTAGCTCCGCTCGTTAAGGTTCGAGTTTGGCTTGAGCTCGAGGCCATGACGAGTCGAGCTCGAGCTCGAGCTCATTTAAAGCACGTTTAGTTAATGAGCCGAGCTCGGCTCGGCTCGGCTCGAGCTCGAGACCTTAACGAGTCAAGCTCGAGCTCATTTAAAACTTGTTTGAGAACGATGCAGTTACGTTTGATGGTTTCTGAAACAAGCTGAGCTCGGCTCGTTAAGGCTCGAAAATAAAGTTTTTATATAATTTTCTATAGTTCGCTCGCTAAAACTGGAGATCGGCTCGTTAAGGTTCCAGCTCGAGGCTTTAACAAGTCGAGCTCAAGCTCGATCTCTGGTTTGTTTATTTAATGAGCCCAACTCAACTCGGTCATTAAGCTCGAGCTCAAGCTCGAGCATTTTAAGTTTGAGTCCGGCTCGACTCGTTTACAGGCCTAATCGCACGTACTTGTGTAGAAAATGGCTCAGGTCGAATTTTTATTTTCAATATTACCCCTGTTGCTCGCACGATTTTTCCCACTCGGATAGTTGGAAGAAGGAGAATAATTTCGAAGATTTTCTGGCGAGTTGGCCTTCCGTAAGGCTCCTCTCGCCGATGCACAGGTGGGTGGGGTGGGGTGTTAAAAATAATCTCAATGAGTGTAACATTTTGACTTTTCTTTTTCGTTTCACTATTCGATCTGATGACTACGATGTATTATTATTTTCTTCGTTAAAAATCATTTTCAATATATATATATATATATATTCAAATAAAAATTAGTCCGACTGTGAGAACCGTGAGAACCATATTTGATGCTATTTTTAATTGTGTATGATGTTATTTCTAATATTACATGGTGCTAAAACACAAATGCTAATATAAATTGTGTTGCTATTTTAAATAAAATATACCATGATTAAAAATAGCACTAAAACACAATCAATCATAGCACTACATACAACTAAAAATAGCAGTTCTCACAGTTCTTACACTAGGACTTAGTTCTCATCATATATATATATATTAATATATAAAGAGGGAAGATAGTTGTTTGAAAAAATCATGTAAAAAATAAGCAAAAAAAAGATTTCAATTCCCGCCTAAAGTTTACTATAGTTAGCAAGATTTTTGGCAAAAAATTGAACAAGCCCGCCCACTGTGCAATTCGAATTTTTTTGAAGATTTTTTTCATTGTTTTCTGCCTATATGTCCGCCAGTGAGATTTTAGCAAGATATGGTGAGATTTTTTTGCCAAATATTTGTAGTTATATTAATAAAACAAATATTCCTTCCCAGTTGAGTAGGTTTTTTTGGCTACGCTCTTATCTTAACTTTGCAGATATCCACGTTCCTAAAAAATTATTCCTTACCATTTTTCATACCATCACCGTTCATATCAAGATTTTTTTGAAAAATCTGCCAATTTAAATCCTCAAAATCATTCAAAAGTCACATTCTTTTTATGAAACATGACGTTCCAAATTTTGAAATCGAGAGATTTCTGCCGCTGTCTCTGGAATTCGACGCCATAGCCGACACCATAAAGTCCTTTTTCCCGGTGGGGCTCCAGCGGAGACGAGCTCCTCGGCCATGGAGTTGCAATATACAGGTTTTGAAGTTTGATGACCGAGACCGAGACAGCGATTGAAGTTTGAAGAACTGCGTGGTCTAAATTGTCTGATTTATTGCTCAGTATCTCTCCAGAGAGCTAAACCCTAGCTTCCCCAAATTGGGAAATTAAGTGAACTTCTCTGGGAAAAAGGCTACCACTGAACATAACCGTGGAACAATGAATAGGGGACCGAAATGGAGCGACGGCGAGGATGGTGATACATCGTCGTCCGGCGATTCTTCAGCTCACGATTCCGATGCAAAAGATGGAAATGGGAGCTCGAAAACCCAATCCTCAAAGTTCAAAGCTTCTCAAGGTACCTCTACCTCCGATTTAGATGAACTTAGTTTTGAATTTGATTCGTATCGTTATCTTTAAATTTTGAAAAATCCTATTGAAATAATAATTTTTTTGGTGAAATTATTTCCTCGAGTGTTTGATAGCTGAACAGGGCTCACTTTGCTTGATCAGTTTGTGAAAAATTTCGACGATTTCTGTTGAATTTCACGAAAAACGAAGATGTGTTGATGGGGAAGAGAAAAAGCAAAGCTGTCTTCTTCTTTTTTTCTCCTTATATTTTAAATGTGTTGAAAATTATAATCCTCTTGAAATAATAATTTTTTTGTTTGGTTAGATTATATCCCTCGAGTGATTGATAGCCAAACAGGGCTATCTTTAGTTGATCAATCTATAAATTGTGGTGATTTCCTTTGAATTGTACGAAGAATGAAGATGTGTTGTCATATGTTGAAAGAAGTTCATTCTTGAATGAGCAAGTTTAGTAAATTAAAGACAATAATAAGAAAGCATAAATTAACCCTTTTTTCTTTCCCTCTTATTTAAAATGTGTTCAAAACACTAATTCTGCATCTTCTTCGCGACAGTAGATTCTTTGAAGAAGAAAGGCATAGACTTTGAAGCCTTGAGCCGGCACGGATACAAAGGAGGACTATTGGTCTTGAAAGTGTCGGCACCAAAGGAACCCGAGAAGGAGCAAAACTGGTCTTGGTCCACAGGGAAAGACAAACAACAACAAAAGGGAAGAGAAAAAGAAGAAGAAGAAGAAGCTTACGAGGAACGAATGAAAACAAGAGCCGCCTTAGCTAGTGGAGAGCGCCTTTTGAATGTTCAGACTCGAAGTGAACGAAGTAATGCTAACAATTTGTCCTTTCATATTTTTTCAAATACTCTTAATTCTGAGAGCATCTGCAACCGGACATTTATTTGCCCAGTTTAAATGGCAAGTTTCCATTAAAATGGATGTGTGCATCCATTAATATGGTGGGCCACACCGTTCAACTGGCTGAACGCGTTTAGCCTTTCTTTTTTATTTTATTATTATTATTATTAGTTGTTTTAAATTAATTGTTCAATTATATTATTTTCTTATTTTATATTAATTCATTTTTTATTTATATCATACTTCTCAATATTGATAAATTCAATGTTTATCTATATCACACTTCCCAATATGTATCAATGATTTACATTTTCTATACCCCATTCTTTGCCTATAAATACACCTTAGTTTTACACTTCTCTTGCACAAAAAAATTTACCAACTGCCCATTTGCGTTAAAAAAAAATGGGTCCAAATAATAGGCAAAATTTTCAAAATTTTTCAAGTTTTAAAAAAGTTAAGAGGTACGAGATAACACAATGTATCATCAACTTCGTGACGACTTAGTTGAGCATATTTGGCCTCATTTTGCCACCATCTAAAAAAGTTATTTTTTAATTGTACTATTTTTTCTTGTATAATCATAATTTAAGTTATTTTGGTCCAGTAGTGTTCTTTCATTTTCATGCATTTAAAATTTATTGTTATAATTTAAAAAATTAAATTTTTATTTTTATGAAGAATGGAATATGTGTGTGATTTTGGGAGAGATAATAGATGACAAGACAACTTCCTTTTTGGTTACAATCTATTTCAGCTCAACAAATCAATTTTGAACAATGAAATAACTATTCCTCAATTGGTTAATATTTTGTTATGTTTAAAGCAATGACTTACTCAGTTTTGCTATGAAGCCAACAGTTGTCTCCATAGTGGAGCCAACCTTCTATATACAACAAGTAAACCATACTATATTAATAAAATTATTAGTATTTATTAAGTAATCAGATAACATGATATGGTTTACTTGTTGTATATAGAAGGTTGGCTCCACTATGAAGTCAACTGTTGGCTTCATAGAAAAAATGATGACTTACTAGCTAAGAATAACGATTAATGCCGATTTGATTTGATAAAGTAGCAGTTAATTAACTTTTCCATTTTTACAATTGGTTAGATAACCATACAATGAATTTTAACTCTAAGTATATGTTACTTTTCAGGATATTATAAATAAAGGGTCACCATATATAAAATTTGTAAGAAACAACGGAAACATGGGAAATATATCGCGCTTGGTTGACGTTTGCATTATAGCTCTCTTGGTTTTCACATATTTGATTTCAGTTGAAGGGCGTAGGCCTATTGGGCGTATGGTGGGTGCTTATGATGAAATCACAAACTTAAACGACAAGACAGTGATGAAGTGTGCGAAATTTGCGGTGTCCGAGCATAACAAGAAGACCGGAACAAATTTGATTCTTGTAAAAATAGCTATGGGACTGAAACATCGTGTCGCTGGTTGGAATTATAGGCTAGTAATTTCTACCAAAAATGATACTCGTGCCACCGCGAATCATGACTATTATCTTTCCATTGTTTATGAAAGTCTCCCATACCAGAAGCGAACTTTAGAACTAAGATCATTTGAAAAAATATGATATTAATTTTGAAGTACTTAAAGGGCGGGTTAGGTATTTTTTAATTTTGAAGTACTTAAAGGGTGGGTTGGGTACAAATACCTAGCAACTATGTAACCTTGCAATAAATATTTATATTAATTATGATTTAGTTTGCGGTTCATCTAGCTTTAATGGTTCAATCTATGCAGAGTCTCAACTTTTATCTATCTATCTGTCTATTTAATATATCTCATATATATGATTCTTGAAGGCATTGAGCCTAAGTGGCAGGCCCGCATGCTTCACAATTCTATGTGGAAAAAATCATACTTTTATTTATTATATATATATATATATATATGTATATATATATATGGTGAATGGTTCTCAATGAAAGAAATAAGAATATATCGTAGTCATCATTAACGACAAAAAAAAAATAAATTAAAATGTTACACTAATTAAGGTTATTTTTAATATTACACCCACCCCA